TGTTCTCTATTCTATTCTATATTATGTATTTCTATTCTATTCTGTTCTCTATTGTTTTCTATTCTATTCTATTCTATTCCATTCCATTCCGTGTTCTCTATTCTATTCTATTATGTTCTCTATTATGTTTTCTATTCTATTCTATTCTATTCTATTCTATTCTATTCTATTCTATGTTCTCTATTTTATTCTATATTATGTATTCCTATTATTCTCTTCTCTTCTCTTCTGTGTTCTCTATTCTATTGTTCTCTTATTATGTTCTCTATTATGTTTTCTATTCTATTCTATTCTATTATGTTCTCTATTATGTTTTCTATTCTATTCTATTCTAATTATGTTCTCTATTCTATTCTATATTCTAATTTTTATGTTCTCTATTTTATTCTATATTCTATCCTATCCTATCCTATCCTATCCTATCCTATCCTATCCTATCCTATCCTATCCTATCCTATCCTATCCTATCCTATTCTATTCTATTCTATTCTATTCTATTCTATTCTATTCTATTCTGTTCCGAACTTCTCTCTCTCCACATTCCACATTCCGGAAAAGAGAGAAGTTCCTTGAAGATGGGCTCCAGCACGAATCCAAAAGCTCGGAAAGGACCCCTACATTTGCCTTCATTGATGCGTATTTTTTTTTTTTTTTTTGCTCCTCTACAGGTGATCAGACAATGCCTCGGCTATTACGTCTTGGAGGAGAGGCCTCCCGTAGTTGTGCTCAGCTGTGTACCTGTGGGTGGAAAGCAGGAGAAGAAGGGAGAAGAAGTGGAGAAAAGGGAAGAGGAGAAGAAGGAAGAGAAGAAGCAGGAGGAGGAGAAGCAGGAGGAGGAGGAGGAGAAGGAGAAGAAGAAGGAAGAGGAGGAGAAGGTAAGACAGGAGGAGGAGGAGGAAGAAGAACTGTGGGGTCCTTGGTGCTCTCTGAGCTGGGTGGTTTTCTTGCAGACATTTCACGACCGAATTAGGGAACGTCATCAGTGCTGGAAGGGAGGGAGGGAGGGAGGGAAGAGGAGGAGGGTTTCCCACCGGAGAAGGAGGTTGGACTAGATGACCTCCAAGGTCCCTTCCAGCTCTGTTATTTGGAAGAGGAGGAGGAGAAAAGAAGGAAAGGAGGGAGGAAGGAAGGAAGGAAGGGAGGGAGGGAGGGAGGGAGGGAGGGAGGGAGGGAGGGAGGGAGGGAAGAAGAAGGAAGGAATGAAGGAAGGAAGGAAGGAAGGAAGGAAGGAAGGAAGGAAGGAAGGAAAGGACAGGACAGGACTATAGGGTTCTTGTTCCTGTCAGAACTCGGTGTTTTTCTACAGATGTTTTATGACCCAATTGGGGAACATCCAAAGTGGAAGAAAGAAGTGTTTGAGAGGAGGAGGAGGAGTAGGAGGAGGAGAAGAAGAAGGAGGAGGAGGAGGAGATGATGAGGATTCTGTGATTCTCTAAAGGTCTCCTGCTTGAGCAGGGGGTTGGACTGGATGACCTCCAAGGGCCCCTCCAACTCTGTCCTCCCCACGATTCTGTGATGGTCTCCTGCTTGAGCAGGGGGCTGGACTAGATGACCTCCAAGGTCCCTTCCTACTCTGTTATTTTGTGATTCTCTATGGGTTTCCTGCCTGAGCAGGGGGCTGGACTAGATGACCTCCAAGGTCCCTTCCAGCTGTATTCTGATTCTATGATGCTGTAAGGGTCTCCTGCTCGAGCAGGGGGGGTTTGGACTAGATGACCTCCAAGGTCCCCTCCAACTCTGTCAACTCACGATTCTTGAAGGTCTCCTGCTTGAGCAGGGGGTTGGACTAGATGACCTCCAAGGTACCCCCCCCAACTCTGTCATCCCATGATTTTGTGAGGGTCTCCTGCTCGAGCAGGGGGGGTTGGACTAGATGACCTCCAGGGTCCCCTCCAACTCTGTCATCCCCTGATTCTGTGAGGGTCTCCTGCTTGAGCAGGGGGGGGCTGGACTAGATGGCCTCCGAGGTCCCCCTGCAACTCTGGTTCTTCTGTTCTGTTTCTGTTCTGAAACTTGGGTTCCTCCCGAGTTCAGATCGTATGACGACCGTGAAGTAATTTCCGGAAAGCTGTGAAGAATTTCTCCTCCACTTCCTCCTGAAGGCTCTCCCTTTTGCGAAAGTTGGATTTTGAAGTCGAAAGGGGAAGGAGAAGCCCTCATTGAGGAAATAATCATGGCTCAAGCCAAGGGGTGGGAAAGGAAAGGCCCCTGGATTGGCACGAATTGTGCAAACGTCGATTTTGCTGCTTCCTGCATTCCAGTTCCTGAAAGCGAAAGAAAGTTTCGGGTTGGGACCTTAAAAATCCATCCATCCATCCGTCCATCATCTCCCCTGTCGCAAAAGTGGACTGAATCCCCTCCTTGCAGAACCACTACCCATCTCGGGGGGGGGGAGGTTGAGGGTGTGTGGAAAGTGCTGGACTAGATGACCTCCAAGGTCCCTTCCCACTCTGTGATTCTCTAAAGGTCTCCTGCTTGAGCAGGGGGCTGGTCTGGATGACCTCCGAGGTCCCTCCCCACTCTGTGATTCTCTAAAGGTCTCCTGCTTGAGCAGGGGGCTGGTCTGGATGACCTCCGAGGTCCCTCCCCACTCTATGATTCTCTAAAGGTCTCCTGCTTGAGCAGGGGGCTGGTCTGGATGACCTCCAAGGTGCCTTTCAGCCCTAGGATCCTATAAGGCAGGCAGGCGGGCGGGCGGGCGGGAGGGAGGGAAGGAAGGAAGGAAGGAAGGAAGGAAGGAAGGAAGGAAGGAAGGAAGGAAGAAAAGGGATCAACGTATTTTCCAAAGCACCAGGAAGGCAGGAGAAGAAGCAACGGATGGAAACTCATTCAGGAGAGAAGCAACCTGGAACGAAGGAGAAAAACCTCCTGCTTGAGCAGGGGGCTGGACTAGATGTCCTCCAAGGTCCCTTCCAGCTCTGTCATTCTGTGATTCTCTAAAGGTCTCCTGCTTGAGCCAGGGGCTGGTCTGGATGACCTCCAAGGTCCCTTCCAACTATGATTCTCTAAATCTCTCCTGTTTGAACAGGGGCTGGACTAGATGACCTCCAAGGTCCCTTCCCACTCTGTGATTCTCTAAAGATCTCCTGCTTGAGCAGGGGACTGGTCTGGATGACCTTCAAAGTGCCTTCCAGTCCTAGGATCCTATAAGGCAGGAGAAAAAGAGGAAGGACGGAAGGAAGGAAGGAAGGAAGGAAGGAAGGAAGGGAGGGAGGGAGGGAGGGAGGGAGGGAGGGAAGGAAGGAAGGAAGGAAGGAAGGAAAGAAGGAAGGAAGGGGGTCAACGTATTTTCCAAAGCACCAGGAAGGCAGGAGAAGAAGCAACAGATGGAAACTCATCCAGGAGAGAAGCAACCTGGAACTAAGGAGAAACTTCCTGACAGTGAGGACAATGAACCAGTGGAACTCCTTGCCACCAGAAGTTGTGAGCGCTCCATCACGGGAGGTTTTTAAGAAGGGACTGGACAGCTATTTGTCTAGAATTGTGTAGGGTCTCCTGCTTGAGCAGGGGGTTGGACTAGAACATAGAGCACAGAACAATAGAGTTGGAAGGGGCCCCCGTGGTCATCTAGTCCAGCTCGCTGCTCGAGCAAGAGACCCTTACCAGAGTCATAGAATAACAGGGTTGGATGGGACCTCGGAGGTCATCTAGTCCAACCCCTGCTCAAGCAGGAGATCCTTACAAAATCATAGAATGACGGAGTGGGAAGGGACCCTGGAGGTCATCTAGTCCAACCCCTTACTCAAGCAGGAGGCCCTTACAGAATCATAGAATGACAGAGTTGGAAGGGACCCTGGAGGTCTTCTAGTCCAGTCCCCTGCTCAAAGAGGAGACCTTTACAGAATCATAGAATGACAGAGTTGGAAGGGACCCTGGAGGTCATCTAGTCCAACCCCTTACTCGAGCAGGAGGCCCTTACAGAATCATAGAATGACAGAGTTGGAAGGGACCCTGGAGGTCATCTAGTCCAGTCCCCTGCTCAAAGAGGAGACCTTTACAGAATCATAGAATGACAGAGTTGGAAGGGACCCTGGAGGTCATCTAGTCCAACCCCTTACTCAAGCAGGAGGCCCTTACAGAATCATAGAATGACAGAGTTGGAAGGGATCCTGGAGGTCATCTAATCCAACCCCCTGCTCAGACAGGAAATCGTTAGAGAATCACAGAATAACAGAGTTGGAAGGGACCCTGGAGGTCATCTAGTCCAGCCCCCTGCTCAAGCAGGAGACCCTTACAGAATCATAGAATGACAGAGTTGGAAGGGACCCTGGAGGTCATCTAGTCCGACCCCCTGCTCAGACAGGAAATCGTTAGAGAATCACAGAATAACAGAGTTGGAAGCCACCCTGGAGGTCATCTAGTCCAACCCCCTGCTCAAGCAGGAGACCCTATATGCCCTTTCAGGCAAACGGCTGTCCAGTCTCTTCTCTAAAAAAAAAAAAAACCTCCCGTGACGAAGGGCCCGCAACATCTGGTGGCCAGCAGTCCCACCGGCTAATCGTCTTCACCGTTTAAACGTTTCTCCTTCGTTCCAGGTTGCTTCTCTCCTTTGATTTTAATTGTCGTCCGTCCATTTTTTCTTTAGGTTATATTGGACTTTTGCCCCATTTTTAATGCCCTTCCCTGCCACCACTGTTCAGTGCATCAGCGCCGTTGACAAACCCGTAACCTCGTCATTAAGTGAACCCGGCATCTCCCCCTCCTTGACTTCGGTCGTCGGAAGGCCGCAAAAGGGGGAACGTGGGACACTGCGACCATCATAAATACGAGTCGGTTGCCCCAAGCTGTCTTCATTTTGACGCTATCTCGGTCGTAAGGGCGGGAAACGGCCCCAAGGTCCCATTTTTCAAGGCCTAAACCCTCCGTCGTAAAGCGAGGACTATTCCCAAAACGGGTCTTGCTTTTCGATCCCCAACGGATCAACCTGATCCTGACCCAACACGTTCTCCTCTAGGATCAGCCCCGCCGGGCGAAGAGATTCCTGCGGGTCTTCAAGAAGCTGAAAAAAGGCATGGAAAAATTGTTCCGGAAAAAGAAGCTCGTTCCCGGATCCGTCGCTTCCTAAGAGAAGATTCCGGGAGGATCCCATCTCCGATCTCCGATCCCAGAAAAAAATAAAATAAAATAAAATAAATTCCCTCCATAGGAGAACGGTGGAGAGAATGCCGAGTTTTGGGAATGAGGGTGTCAATTTTAAATTGGAATTCAAATTAGAATTAAAATCTGAATGGAGCTGGGAAAGGGAAAAGGAGAAAGTAGATAATAGTAGTAGTAGTAGTAGTAAGAGTAAGAATTAGAGTTGGAAGGAACCTTGGAGGTCATCTAGTCCAACCCCCTCCTCAGGCAGGAGACCCTTAGAGAATCTTAGAATCAGTTGGAAGGGACCTCAGAGGTCATCCAGTCCAACCCCCTGCTCAGGCAGGAATCCTTAGAGAATCATAGAATAACAGTTAGATGAGACCTTGGAGGTCATCCAGTCCGACCCCCTGCCCAGGCAGGAAACCCTTAGAGAATCATAGACTAACAGAGTTAGATGGGACCTTGGAGGTCATCTAGTCCAACCCCTGCTCAGGTAGCAAACCTTTAGAGAATCATAGAATAACAGAGTTGGAAGGGACCTCAGAGGTCATCCAGTCCAACCCCCTGCTCACGCATGAAACGCTTAGAGAATCATAGAATAACAGAGTTGGAAGGTACCTCGGAGGTCATCTAGCCCAACCCCCTGCTCAGGCAGGAAGGAGTGAAGTGAAGGGGAGAAATGGCAGGAAATATTTTTGAGGCAGCTTTTTTTTTTTTTTAAACTAAATTAAAAAAAAACCCAAATCAATGCAGAAACAAGACCGAGGAAAGCCGTCTCTTTGTGGTTTTTTTTGTGTGTGTGTGTGTGTCTGTGTGTTTTACAAAATAGGCAAATAGGTTTTTACAAGACTTGTGGAGATTCCTTCCTTATTTCTCTGGGCCAACTTGGGGTTTTCCAGTTGTTTTTCCCCAAACATATTTTTTGTTTCCTTCAACTGATTTCCTTCGCTGTATTTTATCTAAATGGGAGGATCACTTTTCTTTTTTCTTTTTTTTTCATAAATATTTTACTGGGTTTTATAGGGATAGGAAAGGGATGGGATCACAGAGTAACAGAGTGGGAAGGGGCGTTGGAGGTCATCTAGTCCAGCCCCCTGCTCAGACAGGAAACGCTTAGAGAATCATAGAATAACAGACTTGGAAGGGACCTCGGAGGTCATCTAGTCCAACCCCCTGCTCAGACAGGAAACGCTTAGAGAATCATAGAATAACAGACTTGGAAGGGACCTCAGAGGTCATCTAGTCCAACCCCCTGCTCAGGCAGGAAGCCTTTAGAGAATCATAGAATAACAGAGTTGGAAGACACCTCAGAGGTCATCGAGTCCAACCCCCTGCTCAGACAGGAAACGCTTAGAGAATCATAGAATAACGGAAGGGATCTCAGAGGTCATCTAGTCCAACCCCCTGGTCAGGCAGGAAGCCTTTAGAGAATCATAGAATAACAGAGTTGGAAGAGACCTCAGAGGTCATCTAGTCCAACCCCCTGCTCAGACAGGAAACGCTTAGAGAATCATAGAATAACGGAAGGGATCTCAGAGGTCATCTAGTCCAACCCCCTGGTCAGGCAGGAAGCCTTTAGAGAATCATAGAATAACAGAGTTGGAAGAGACCTCAGAGGTCATCTAGTCCAACAACCTGCTCAGACAGGAAACACTTAGAGAATCATAGAATAACAGAGTTGGAAGGGACCTCAGAGGTCATCTAGTCCAACCCCCTGCTCAGGCAGGAAGCCTTTAGAGAATCAGAGAATAACAGATTTGGAAGGGACCTCAGAGGTCATCTAGTCCAACCCCCTGCTCAGGCAGGAAACCTTTAGAGAATCACAGAATGACAGAGTTGGAAGGCACCTCGGCGGTCATCTAGTCCAACCCCCTGCTCAGGCAGGAGATCCTTATAGAAGCATAGAAGGATTCTGTGTTGGAGATTGAAGAAGAGGAAGACAAACTGTTAACCGTTCATTTATTTAAAAAAAATCTCTGAATCCAAAACCGCCGAAATATTCCCGTTGCTCGAAGCAAACGGGAGACCGGGAATAGGAAGGTCCCATCCAGACCTTCTCCCCTGTAGCTTTCCTAATCGAATTGGTCGATTGATTGATCGATCGCTTGATTGATTGGCCTGTCCTTCTGATTATGTCCCCGCAAGCCATTGTTGAATCTTTAGCCTTCACGGAGTTTCTCATCCTGGTTTGTTTCCTTTAATCCTTATGCAACTCCTGGCAAGTGTCCAATTTCAAACTGGATCAAAAAAAAATAACTGTTATTTATTTGACGACAACAATCACCACAACGCAGAATCACGCAACGACTCCCAGCCTCATTTTTTTTTAGATTTTTAGATGATCATATTCATAAATTATAAATTGAAACTAGGCTAGCAAGTGAGAGACCATTATGATCCAGGGTTTGGTATGAACACCAGCTGGGTGACTTTGGGCCAATCACCAGGAGACGGTGAGTTCTAGTCCCGCCTTAGGCATGAAAGTTGGCTGGGTGACTTTGGGCCAATCACCAGGAGACGGTGAGTTCTAGTCCCGCCTTAGGCATGAAAGCCGACTGGGTGATTCTGCGCTAATCACTAGGAGACAGTGAGTTCTAGTTCTGCACTAGGCATGAAAGCCAGCTGGGTGACTTTGGGCCAATCACCAGGAGATGGTGAGTTCTAGTCCCGCCTTAGGCATGAAAGCCGGATGGGTGACTTTAGGCCAGGGGTAGGCAACCCAAAACACTCGGAGAGCCACTTGGACCCGTTTCCCACCAAAAACAAAACACTGGGAGCCGCAAAACCCTTTTGATATCTAAAACGAAGATAACACTGCATATATCCTTTTTTACCTTTATTATAGGTGTGTGTGTGTGTATGTGTGTGTGTGTGTGTGTATGTGTGTGTGTGTGTATATATATATATATATACACACACACACACACATTAAAAATAAAAGTAAAAATATGACTCTTGGGAATATCCATACTATTAAAACAATGATCACCAAAAGAATGCTTTAAGAGAATAAAATTACATACACACAAAGGTAAAAAAAGGATATATGCAGTGTTTGTCTCTCTCTCCCCCTCCCTCTCTATCTGCCCTTGGTCTGCCACTCCTCTTCCCCCACTCTCTTTCTTTCTCTCTCTCTTTCCTCTCTCTCTTTCCTCTCTCTCTCCCTCCCTCCCTCCCTCTGTTTCTCTCGCTCTCTTTCTCCCCCCCCCTCCTATCTGCTGCTCACCTGGCAAGCTTCAAGCTGTTGTCCAACAAGCTCAGGGGTAAGCAACCTCGTCTCTTTTATGACTCATGGACTTCAACTCCCAGAATTCCTGAGTCAGCCTAGCTGGGCTAGCTAGCTCTCTCCTGCCCTTCCTGCTTCCTGCAGAGACGCAGCAAAGGGAGGGGCTCCGTCCAGTAAGCTTTTCAGCTCCTCTGAGAATACTGTGAGTGCAATCTTTTTTTTTTTACACACACACATACACACACACACACACACACACAGAGAGAGAGAGAGAGAGAGAGAGAGAGAGAGAGAGAGAGAGAGAGAGAGAGAGAGGGAGAGGCAGGGAAGCGCAATTGCCTCTCTCTGTCTCTGTCTCTGTCTCTCTCTGCAAAGGCAGAGGAGGCTGGGAGCCGCAGGGGAAGGCTCAAAGAGCCGCATGCGGCTTTGGAGCCGCAGGTTGCCGACCTGTGCTTTAGGCCAATCACCAGGAAGCTGGGAGTTCTAGTCCCGCCTTAGGCATGAAAGCCGGATGGGTGACTTTAGGCCAATCACCAGGAGACGGTGAGTTCTAGTCCCGCCTTAGGCATGAAAGCTGGATGGGTGACTTTAGGCCAATCACCAGGAGACGGTGAGTTCTAGTCCCGCCTTAGGCATGAAAGCTGGATGGGTGACTTTGGGCCAATCACCAGGAGACGGGGAGTTCTAGTCCCGCCTTAGGCATGAAAGCCGGATGGGTGACTTTGGGCCAATCACCAGGAGACGGGGAGTTCTAGTCCCGCCTTAGGCATGAAAGCTAGCTGGGTGACTTTGGGCCAATCACCAGAAGATGGGGAGTTCTAGTCTCGCCTTAGGCATGAAAGACAGCTGGGTGACTTTGGGCCAATCACCAGGAGACTGTGAGTTCTAGTCCCGCCTCAGCCATGAAAGCCAGCTGGGTGACTTTGGGCCAATCACCAGGAGACGGGGAGTTCTAGATAGTCTTAGATATCTTAGCCACCTGGAATCATTTTCCAAAATAATAAAAGTAAAATATCCATCCCAGAAAGAAATACCTAATAAAAGCAGGTGATTATCGTGAGACCCAGGTTCAGGAGTTCCCACTTTCGGTTTCCAGCTTCTGCTCACATGCTTCCTGTTGCTTATGGGCTTCCCGCTTCACACCGGTGGAGTTGTGAGTTCCCTATTTTGTGTGGACTTTCCGCACAGAGTTAGGTGTGACTCAGCCCGTCCTTTTGCTCCCTGGAGTTGGGCCTGCTCAGGGGCCGCCTTCAACGGGCCTTACGGGAACCGGAGGGAGGGGAGGGTGCGAGCCATCCAAATGGGGGCCTTGCACAATCGGCCTCCTTTGCACAAGCGATTGTGTGGTGCCGCAGGCATCAGGGTTCGGATTGTGAAGGCTGGGCTCGGAGGCCCATCAATCAGGAGGGCCAAAGACTCTCTCTCTCTCTCTTATCTATCATCTCTGTGTTTGTTTGTTTGTTTGTCTGTCTATCATTCTATCTCTTTTATGTATCATATCTGTGTCTGTCTGTCTCTCTATATATATCTATCTTTCTGACAATCTCTCTCTATCTATATCTATCTATCTATGTCTCTTTCATGTATCATATCTCTCTCTATATCTATCTTTCTATCTATCTATCTTTCTATCACTCTCTCTCTTTTATGTATCATATCTGTGTCTGTCTGTCTCTATATATCTATCTTTCTGACAATATATCTATCTATCTATGTCTCTTTCATGTATCTCTCTCTATCTTTCTATCTATTTATCTTTCTATCACTCTCTCTTTTATGTATCATATCTGTCTGTCTCTCTATATATATCTATCTTTCTGACAATCTCTATCTATATCTATCTATCTGTCTCTTTCATGTATCATATCTGTCTCTCTCTATATCTATCTTTCTATCTATCTATCACTCTTTCTTTTATGTATCATATCTGTGTCTGTCTGTCTCTCTATATATATCTATCTTTCTGACAATCTCTATCTATATCTATCTGTCTCTTTCATGTATCATATCTGTCTCTCTATATATCTATCTTTCTATCTATCACTCTCTCTTTTATGTATCATATCTGTGTCTGTCTGTCTCTCTCTATATATCTATCTTTCTGACAATCTCTCTCTATATCTATCTATGTCTCTTTCATGTATCATATCTGTCTCTCTATATCTATCTTTCTATCTATCTTTCTATCACTCTCTCTCTTTTATGTATCATATCTGTTTCTGTCTGTCTCTATATATCTCTTTCTGACAATCTATCTATCTATCTATCTATCTATCTATCTATCTATCTATGTCTTTGATGTATCATATCTGTCTCTCTCTATATCTATCTTTCTATATCTTTCTATCACTCTCTCTTTTATGTAATATCTGTCTGTCTCTATATATCTATCTTTCTGACAATCTCTCTATCTATGTCTCTTTCATGTATCATATCTGTCTCTCTCTATATCTATCTTTCTATCTATCTTTCTATCACTCTCTCTCTTTTATGTATCATATCTGTTTCTGTCTCTATATATCTATCTTTCTGACAATCTCTCTCTCTCTATCTGTCTTTCATGTATCATATCTGTCTCTCTCTATATCTATCTATCTTTCTATATCTTTCTATCACTCTCTCTTTTATGTATCATATCTGTGTCTGTCTCTCTCTATATATATGTCTATCTTTCTGACAATCTCTATCTATATCTATCTGTCTATCTCTTTCATGTATCATATCTGTCTATATCTATCTTTCTACCTATCTATCTTTCTATCACTCTCTCTCTTTTATGTATCATATCTGTGTCTGTCTATCTCTCTCTATATATCTATCTTTCTGACAATCTCTCTGTCTATATATATATATCTATGTCTCTTTCATGTATCATATCTGTCTCTATATCTATCTATCTTTCTATCAATCTTTCTATCACTCTCTCTCTTTTATGTATCATATCTGTGTCTGTCTCTCTCTATATATCTATTTCTATCTCTCTCTATCTGACTATATCTATCTATCTCTCTATCTATTGTAAGGTTTTCCACTTAACCTCACAATTGCCCCAGCATTACTCAGGAATTTAAAAGCGCCAAAGAAACTCCTGAGCCGAGAGTTTTAGCAAGCAAAACAACTTTTATTTTGATCAAAATAAAGTTGGGTGACCCCATCTCTCTTCGTGGCTGGTAGAGAGACGAAGGCAAGAACCAGAAAAGATGTCTTCCACCTTTTATACCTTTTCAGAACAAAGAGATCAGGTCTTGGGACCAGGCAAAGATGGCACAAAAAAACAATTCCTAGATGATGACTCATGCACAGCAATCCAGGCTCCATCCGTCACTCCTTTCCCCCTCCCCTTACTGTGCTCTTTTCATATAAGCAATCACCTGTACCTAAAGCATGAAGCCCTTACTTTCCCAATATATATATAAAGCATCTGATCAAGCAATTAACTACAAAATAATGATGACAAAATAACAAAACAATGATGACATGATAACACTATAAGTATCAATATAAAATGGTCACTATATATAAAATAAATGCTAATGTCAAACTTAAACATACTAAAATCATAAGCATAAAATCCCTTCACTATCTATGTCTCTCTTTTATCTATCGTATCTGTCTGTCTGTCTCTCTATATATCTATCTTTCTATCTCTATCTATCATTCTGTCTCTTTTATGTATCATATCTGTCTCTCTATATATATATATCTTTCTGACTATCTGTCTATCTCTGACTATATCTATCTGTCTGTCTCTCTTTTATGTATCATATCTGTGTCTGTCTATATATCTATCTATCATTCTGTCTCTTTTATGTATCATATCTGTCTCTCTCTATATATATCTTTCTATCTCTCTCTCTATGACTATATCTATCTATCTATCTATCTATCTGTCTGTCTGTCTGTCTGTCTGTCTCTCTTTTATGTATCATCTGTGTCTGTCTATATATCTATCTTTCTATCTATCATTCTGTCTCTTTTATGTATCATATCTGTCTCTCTCTATATATATCTTTCTATCTCTCTCTCTATGACTATATCTATCTATCTATCTATCTGTCTGTCTGTCTGTCTGTCTGTCTCTCTTTTATGTATCATATCTGTGTCTGTCTATATATCTATCTTTCTATCTATCATTCTGTCTCTTTTATGTATCATATCTGTCTCTCTCTATATATATCTTTCTATCTCTCTCTCTATGACTATATCTATCTATCTATCTGTCTGTCTGTCTGTCTGTCTGTCTCTCTTTTATGTATCATATCTGTGTCTGTCTATATATCTATCTTTCTATCTATCATTCTGTCTCTTTTATGTATCATATCTGTCTCTCTCTATATATATCTTTCTATCTCTCTCTCTATGACTATATCTATCTATCTATCTGTCTGTCTGTCTGTCTGTCTGTCTCTCTTTTATGTATCATATCTGTGTCTGTCTATATATCTATCTTTCTATCTATCATTCTGTCTCTTTTATGTATCATATCTGTCTCTCTCTATATATATCTTTCTGACTATCTCTCTCTCTATGACTATATCTGTCTGTCTGTCTGTCTGTCTCTCTTTTATGTATCATATCTGTCTGTCTGTCTGTCTGTCTGACACACTCTCTCCCTCTCTCTCTCTCTCGTCCAACCCCATGCTCAAGCAGGAGACCCTTACAGAATCATAGAAGGACAGAGTTGGAAGGGACCGGGGAGGTCATCTAGTCCAGCCCCCTACTCAAGCAAGAGACCCTTCTCTTCTCCTCCTCCCCCTCCTCCTCCAAAAAACAGAATCACAGTTGGACGTGACCCTGGAGGTTTTCTCGTCAAACCCCCTGCACTTCTCTTTTCTTCTTCTTCCTCCTCCTCCTCCAAATAACAGAATCACAGTTGATTGATTGGCCTCTCTCTCTCCTTCCTTCCTTCCTTCCTTCCTTCCTTCCTTCCTTCCTTCCTTCCTTCCTTCCTTCCTTCCTTCCTCCTCCTCCTCTCACTGATAATGTTCCCAAGTTGGGTCGTGAGACATCTGCAAAGAAACCACCCAGCTCAGAGAGCACCAAGGACCCCAGAACCCTCTCCTCCCCCTCCTCCCCCTCCTCCTGATAATGTTCCCTAGTTGGGTCACGAGACGTCTGCAAGGAAACCACCCAGCTCAGAGAGCACCAAGGACCCCAGAGCCCTCCCCTCCTCCTCCTGCTCCTGCTCCTGCTCATACTGATAATGTTCCCTAGTTGGGTCACGAGACGTCTGCAAGGAAACCACCCAGCTCAGAGAGCACCAGGGACCCCCTCCCAGTCCTCCTCCCCCTCCTCCTCCTCCAGATAACAGAATCACAGTTGGATGTGACCGTGGAGATCTTCTCGTCAAACCCCCTGCACAAGACCCTTCTCTTTTCCTCCTCCTCCTCCTCCTCCTCCTCCTCCTCCTCCTCCTCCTCCTCCTCCTCCATCGAAAGAGCACCTTCAGATGCCTGGACTTCTTCAACTCCCCCCCACAGACACACACACAACCCCCCCCTACCACCCCTTCTCCAAGCTCCCCCAGTGCCGGGATGGTGGGGGAATTGCCCAGGTTGCGTCAGCCCGATTTGGAAACCGGCCAGAAGCCCACTGGGATTTCCAAACCGGAGTTTCTCTCCGCCATGCTCCGATCCGAGGAAAAGCCGGCACCGGAAAGGAATGACGGATGCTCTCGGGGGGGGGGGGGCAGAATCATTCCCCGATCCATCCATCAATAAAGACTGTCAATCTCCATATCTGGCTTCCCCCCCCCCTATTTTCGATTCTACGTTTCATGCCGTAACAGCAGTGGGAAGGGACCCTGGAGGTCATCTAGTCCAGCCCCCTGCTCAAGCAGGAACCGCTTACAGAATCATAAATAAGACAGTGGAAAGGGACCCTGGAGGTCATCTAGTCCAGCCCCCTGCTCAAGCAGGAACCGCTTACAGACTCATAAATAAGACAGTGGAAAGGGATCCTGGAGGTCATCTAGTCCAGCCCCCTGCTCAAGCAGGAACCACTTACAGACTCATAAATAAGACAGTGGAAAGGGATCCTGGAGGTCATCTAGTCCAGCCCCCTGCTCAAGCAGGAACCGCTTACAGACTCATAAATAAGACAGTTGAAAAGGACCCTGGAGGTCATCCAGTCCAGCCCCCTGCTCCAGCAGGAACCGCTTACAGAATCATAAATAAGACAGTGGAAAGGGATCCTGGAGGTCATCTAGTCCAGCCCCCTGCTCAAGCAGGAACCGCTTACAGACTCATAAATAAGACAGTGGAAAGGGACCCTGCAGGTCATCTAGTCCAGCCCCCTGCTCCAGCAGGAACCGCTTACAGAATCATAAATAAGACAGTGGAAAGGGACCCTGCAGGTCATCTAGTCCAGCCCCCTGCTCCAGCAGGAACCGCTTACAGAATCATAAATAAGACAGTGGAAAGGGACCCTGCAGGTCATCTAGTCCAGCCCCCTGCTCAAGCAGGAACCGCTTACAGACTCATAAATAAGACAGTGGAAAGGGACCCTGCAGGTCATCTAGTCCAGCCCCCTGCTCCAGCAGGAACCGCTTACAGAATCATAAATAAGACAGTGGAAAGGGACCCTGGAGGTCATCTAGTCCAGCCCCCTGCTCCAGCAAGAACCGCTTACAGAATCATAAATAAGCCAGGGGAAAGGGACCCTGCAGGTCATCTAGTCCAGCCCCCTGCTCAAGCAGGAACCGCTTACAGACTCATAAATAAGACAGTGGAAAGGGACCCTGCAGGTCATTTAGTCCAGCCCCCTGCTCAAGCAGGAACCGCTTACAGACTCATAAATAAGACAGTGGAAAGGGACCCTGCAGGTCATCTAGTCCAGCCCCCTGCTCAAGCAGGAACCGCTTACAGACTCATAAATAAGACAGTGGAAAGGGACCTTGGAGGTCACCTAGTCCAGCCCCCTGCTCATGCAGGGAAGGTTTTTTTCCTCCTCCATCAAAAGAGCACCTTCAGATGCCTGGACTTCTTCAAACCCCCCCCTACACACAACCCCCCCCTACCACCCCTTCTCCAAGCTCCCCCAATGCCGGGATGGTGGGGGAATTGCCCAGGTTGCGTCAGCCCGATTTGGAAACTGGCCAGAAGCCCACTGGGATTTCCAAACTGGAGTTTCTCTCTTCCCCTTTCTCAATTCAAGAAGAAGAAGAAGAAGAAGAAAAAGGAGTGTCTCGTTTTCAGGAAGATCCTCCAAATAATTCCACACTGGGGGAAAATCCCGGGTTCCCCCCAGCCAGGAAGGCGAGGACCCGCCTCTCCGGGGCCTGCATAAAAGGGGAACCTGCCGGTCCCCGGGAATCCCATCCGAAGGAGCCAGCGGCGGCCAGGATGGACGGTTCCTTCTGGAAGACCTTGCTGGTGCTGGCCGTCTGCGGGACCCCTGCCTCCCTCGCCCACCGGCCCCTGAGCTACGGGGAAGCCCTGGAGCTGGCCGTGAGCATCTACAACGGCAAGGCGGGCCAGGCCTCCCTCTACCGCCTCCTGGAGGCCGTTCCTCAGCCCGAGTGGGTAGGTGGCCGGGAGCAGAGTGGGGAGGGAGCCGGGAGGTCATCTAGCCCGACCCCCTGCTCGAGCAGGAGTTCCATGCAGAATCAGGGAAGGACAGAGGGGAGAGGGAGCTGGGAGGTCATCTACTCCAACCCCATGCTTGAGCAGGAGATCCTTACAGAATCACAGAAGAATAGTGGAAGGGACCCTGGAGGTCATCTAGTCCACCCCCCTGCTCAGGCAGGAGACCCTTACAGAACGATCGATGGACAGAGTTGGAAGGGAGCTGAGAGGTCATCTAGTCCAACCCCCACAGAATTTCAGAATAACAGAGTTGGGAGGGAGCTGGGAGGTCATCTAGTCCAACCCCCTGCTCGAGCAGGAGATCCATGCAGAATCAGGGAAGGACAGAGTGGGGAGGGACCTGGGAGGTCATCTAGTCCAACCCCCAGCTCAAGCAGGAGACCCTTACAGAATCACAGAATAACAAAGTTGGAAGGGAGCTGGGAGGTCATCTGTCCAACTCCCAGCTCAAGCAGAAGACCCAGGCAGAATCAGGGAAGGACGGAGTGGGGAGGGAGCTGGGAGGTCATCTAGTCCCACCCCCTGCTCAAGCAGGAGACCCTTACAGAATCATAGGACAGAGTTGGAAGGGAGCTGGGAGGTCATCTAGTCTGACCCCCTGCTCGACCAGGAGACCCTGACAGAATGATCGGACAGAGTGGGAAGGGAGCTGGGAGGTCATCTAGTCCAACCCCCTGCTTAAGCAGGAGATCCATGCAGAATCAGGGAAGGACAGAGTGGGGAGGGACCCGAGAGGTCATCTAGTCCGACCCCCTGCTCGAGCAGGAGACCCATGCAGAATCAGAGTGGGGAAGGACCTGGGAGGTCATCTAGTCCGACCCCCTGCTCAAGCAGGAGATCCATGCAGAATGATCGAAGGACAGAGTTGGGAGGGAGCTGGGAGGTCATCTAGTCCAACCTCCTGCTCGAGCAGGAGATCCATGCAGAATCAGGGAAGGACGGAGTGAGGAGGGAGCCGGGAGGGCATCTAGTCTGACCCCCTGCTCGAGCAGGAGTTCCATGCAGAATCAGGGAAGGACAGAGGGGGGAGGGAGCTGGGAGGTCATCTAGTCCAACCCCCAGCTCAAGAAGAAGACCCATAAGAATCATAGACTAACAGAGTTGGAAGAGAGCTGGGAGGTCTTCTGATTCAGGAGACTCCCTCAAGTGTCCTTCAACGTGGTTCCAAAGGAAGGTGGGAGGAAGTCCAGGTGGTTTCCAAATGAACCCCCGTGTCTTGTTTCAGGATCCCAATTCTGAGGGCAGTCAACAGCTGAACTTCACCCTCAAGGAGACGGCGTGCCAGGTGGAAGAAGAACGTTCCCTGGAGGAATGCGGCTTCCAAGAAGACGGGGTGAGTAAGGGATGTTCAAGCTGAGTTGACGATGGGTCGGAGTTGGAAGGGGGATCCATGGGACTTCTGTAGGATCTCGCTCGGAGTTCTCTTTCCCTTCTACCGTCGTCTTCAGGGATGTCCTTCCTCGCGTTTCTGCAAGTCAACTCTGAGCCCAGGTCCAGGGATAGAGCAGGGACCTATAAGAGAATAACAAAGTTGGAAGGGACCCTGGAGGTCTTCTACTCCAACCCCCAGCTCAAACAGGAACTCCTCCTCCCTCCTAGCCTTGATGATGTTCCCTAGTTGGGTCATGAAACGTCTGCAAGAAAACCACCCAGCTCAGAGAGCACCCAGGATCCCACAGTCCCTTTCCTCTTCCTCCTCCTCCTCCTCCTAATAACAGAATAATATACTTGGCAGGGACCCTGGAGGTCTTCTAGTCCAACCCCCAGCTCAAGCAGGAACTCCTCCTCCTCCCCCTCCTCCCCCTCCTCCTCCTAATAACCGAGTAATAAACTTGGAAGGGACCCTGGAGGTCTTCTAGTCCAACCCCCAGCTCACGCAGGAACTCCTCCTCCTCCTCTCCCCTTCTAGTACTGATGATGTTCCCTAGTTGGGTCATGAAACGTCTGCAAGGAAACCACCCAGCTCAGAGAGCACCCAGGACCCCACAGTCCTTCCTCCTCCTCCTCCTCCTCCTCCTCCTAATAACAGAATAATAAACTTGGAAGGGACCCTGGAGGTCTTCTAGTCCAACCCCCTGCTCAAGCAGGAACTCTCCTCCTCCCCTTCCCCCTCCCCCCTCTTCCTACTTAAAATTAACCGAATAATATTGGAAGGGGCACTGGAGGTCTTCTAGTCCAACCCCCTGCTCAAGCGGGAGATCCTCCTCCTCCTCCTCCTCTGAATAACAGAGTAATAGAATAGCAGAATAACTGACTTGGAAAAGACCCTGGAGGTCATCTAGTCCCACCCCCTACTCAAGCAGGAGGCCTTCCCCTCCCCTTTCAGACAAATCGTTGTCCCCCCCCCCCCATACAAACCTTCCCCATTCCCGGGAGGGAGGAAAACGCGTTCCAAAGATCGAAAGGAAGGAGAAGTTTACAAGCCGCACGCAGCTCCTCCCTCGTGGAACGATTCCACCTGGTTGTAGATGGTTTCGGTCTGCCAGGCATGCAAAAGGTACAAGGAACCGTGCAGAAGAATGTCTGCAGGCCTTACTCGGGTTCTGGAAGCTGTCAAGACCCAACCGATTAACCGCCTCCACAGCCTTGGAAGCAGTTCGGCTCTTTGATGACTGGTGGACTTCAACTCCCAGAATTCCCGAGCCAGCCTTGCTGAGGGGAAAGGGAGAGGTTTCCAAGCTGAGCCATATTGGCTCAGGAATTCTGGGAGTTGAAGTCCACCAGTCATGAAGGGCTCATACTTCCCCCATGCTGGCAGAGGAATTCTGGGAGTTGAAGTCCACGAGTCATAAAAGAGCCAAGGTGGCCTACCCCTGAGTTACTAGGAAGATGAGGGGACTTCAACTCCCAGAATTCCTCTGCTAGCATGGCACCCTATACCAGGCGTAGGCCACCTTGGCTCTTTTATGACTGGTGGACTTCAACTCCCAGAATTCCCGAGCCAGCCATGCTGAGGGGAAAGGGAGAGGTTTCCAAGCTGAGCCATGCTGGCTCAGGAATTCTGGGAATTGAAGTCCACAAGTCATGAAGGGACTACTTCCCCCCCCCATGCCTAGCTCAGGAATTCTGGGAGTTGAAGTCCACAAGTCATGAGGGGGGCCATAATTCCCCCATGCTGGCTCAGGAATTCTGGGAGTTGAAGTCCACGACTCATGAAGCGGCCACAGATCCCCCGTGGTGGCTCAGGAATTCTGGGAGTTGGAGTCCACAAGTCATGAGGAGGCCATAGTTCCCCCATGCTGGCTCAGGAATTCTGGGAGTTGAAGTCCACAAGGGGCCACTTTTTCCCCCATGCTAGCTCAGGAATTCTGGGAGTTGAAGTCCAAGTGTCATGAAGGGGCCATAGTTCCCCCATGTTGGCTCAGGAATTCTGGGAGTTGAAGTCCACAAGGGGCCACTTTTTCCCCCATGCTAGCTCAGGAATTCTGGGAGTTGAAGTCCAAGTGTCATGAAGGGGCCATAGTTCCCCCATGTTGGCTCAGGAATTCTGGGAGTTGAAGTCCCGCAGTCATAAAAGGGCCAAGTTTGAAGACCCCTGGTTTAAATGTTTAAATATTTTTTCCTCACGGTCAGGTGATCAAAATTCAAACATTTGGGCAGGGCTAGGCCACCTTGGCTCTTTTATGACTGGTGGACTTCAACTCCCAGAATTCCCGAGCCAGCCACGCTGAGGGGAAAGAGAGAGGTTTCCAAGCTGAGCCAGGCTGGCTCAGGAATTCTGGGAGTTGAAGTCCACAAATCATAAAAAGAGCCAAGGTTGCCTACCCCTGCCCTAAAGTACAGCTAGTCCTCAACTTATGACGGCTCCGTTTAGTGTCCATTTTACAGCAAGTCCTCGACTTACGATAGTCCTTTTAGTGACCAAGTTACAACAGCCCTGAAAAAAATGACATGTCCATTTTATAAGGAGTCCTCAACTTACGACGGTTCTGTTTAGTGACTGAAGTTACGACGGCCCTGAAAAAAATGACATGTCCATTTTATAAGGAGTCCTTGACTTACGACAGTTCTGTTTAGTGACCAAAGTCGCAAGAGCCCTGAAAAAAATGGCTTATGTCCATTTTACAGGGAGGACTTACGACGGTCCGTTTAGTGAGTGAAGTCACGACAGCCCTGAAAAAAGTAACATGTCCATTTTACAGGGAGTCTTTGACTTACGATGGTCCATTTAGTGATCAAAGTTACAATGGGCCTGAAAAAAATGATTTATATCCATTTTACAGGGAGTCCTTGACTTACGATTGATCTGTTTAGTGACCGAAGTCACGATGGACCTGAAAAAATGACATGTCCATTTTACAGAGAGTCCTTGACTTACGACAGTCCTTTTAGTGACCAAAGTCATGACAGCCCTGAAAAAAGTGACTTATGTCCATTTTATAAGGAATCCTCGACTTACGACAGTTCTGTTTAGTGATCAAAGTCACGACGGCCCTGAAAAAAGTGACTTATGTCCATTTTATAAGGAGTCCTCGACTTACGACAGTTCTGTTTATTGACCAAAGTCGCAAGATCCCTGAAAAAAATGGCTTATGTCCATTTTACAGAGAGTCCTTGACTTACAACGGTCTGTTTAGTGACCGAAGTCACGACAGCCCTGAAAAAAGTGACATGTCCATTTTACAAGGAGTCCTAGACTTACGATGGTCCATTTAGTGATCAAAGTTACAATGGGCCTGAAAAAATTGATTTATATCCATTTTACAGGGAGTCCTTGACTTACGACGGTTCTGTTTAGTGACCGAAGTCACGATGGACCTGAAAAAATGACATGTCCATTTTACAGGGAATCCTTGACTTACGACAATCCTTTTAGTGACCAAAGTCATGACAGCCCTGAAAAAAGTGACTTATGTCTATTTTATAAGGAATCCTCGACTTACGACGGTTCTGTTTAGTGATCAAAGTTACAACGGCCCTGAAAAAAGTGACTTATGTCCATTTTATAAGGAATCCTTGACTTACGACAGTTCTGTTTAATGATCAAAGTCACAACCCCCCCTGAAAAAAATGACTTATGTCCATTTTATAAGGAGTCCTCAACTTATGACGGTCTTGTTTAGAGATCAAAGTTACGATGGCCCTGCAAAAAGTGACATGTCCATTTCATACAGAGTCCTCGACTTATGAAGGTTGTGTTTACTGATCAAAGTCACGACAGCCCTGAAAAAAAAGGGTGAGGTGGTTGTAAAGCGAGGACTACCTGCACCGAGGGAGAGGCTGAGGCTTCTATCTTAGCTGGTCTAAGATCCTTCTAGAACAGGGGTCCCCAATCTGTGGGCCATGGTGCCCTACTGATCTGTGGCTTACTCAGAAGCAGGCTGCGTGAGTGACTCGAACTCGGGACCTTGTGCGTGCGACCGTCGCAGAGAAGGGGGTCTCTGTGGAGCCGAATCTTGATTCTCACCCGGCTTTCGTCCCCTCGACAGGTCGTCCTGGAGTGCACAGGCTACTATTTCTTTGGGGAGACGCCCCCGGTGGTCGTCCTCTCCTGTGTACCTGTGGGCGGAGTGGAGGAGGAGGAGGAGGAGGAGGAGGAGGAGCCGAAGGCAGAGGCGGAGAACGACGAGGAGGTGGAGAAGGAGAAGGAGGATGAGGAGAAGGTAAGAAGGGGGCATGGTGGGGGACGTCTCATGACTCAACTAGGGAACGTCATCAGGGCTAGAAGGGAGGAGGAGGAGTTGGAGTTGGAGGAGTTGGAGTTGGAGTTGGAGTTGGAGTTGGAGGAGGAGGAGGAGGAGGAGGAGGAGGAAGAGGAGGAGGAGGAGGAGGAGGAGAGGGCTCTGGTGTCCTTGGTGCTCTCTGAGATTGGTGGTTTCTTTGCAGACGTCTCACGACCCAACTTGGGAACCTTATCAGTGGGAAGAGGAGAAGGAAGGAAGGAAGGAAGGAAGGAAGGAAGGAAGGAAGGAAGGAAGGAAGGAAGGAAGGAAGGAAGGAAGGAAGGAAGGAAGGAAGGGGAGAGAGAGAGAAAGGAAGGAAGGAAGGAAGGAAGGAAGGAAGGAAGGAAGGAAGGAAGGAAGGAAGGAAGGAAGGAAGGAAGGAAGGAAGGGGAGAGAGAGAAAGAGAGGGAGGGAGGAAGGAGGGAAGGAGGGAAGGAAGGAAGGAGGGAAGGAAGGAAGGGGAGAGAGAAAGGAAGGAAGAGAGGAAGGAAGGAAGGAAGGAAGGAAGGAAGGAAGGAAGGAAGGAAGGAAGGAAGGAAGGAAGGAAGGGAGGGAGGAGGAGGAGGAGGAGGAGAAAAAGACTATGGGGTCCTTGGTGCTCTCTGAGAGGTGGTTTCCTTACTGACGTCTCGTGACCCAGCTTGGGAACATTATCAGTGGGAAGAGGAGAAGGAAGGAAGGAGAGAGAGGGGGGGGAGGAGGAGGAGGAGGAGGAGGAGGAGGAGGAGGAAGGACTGGGGGGCTCCCTGGTTCTCTCAGAGCTGGGTGGTTTCCTTGCAGACGTCTCGTGACCCAACTAGGGAACGACATCAGTGCTACAAGGGAGGAGGAGGAGAAGGAAGAAAGGAAGGGAGGGAGGGAGGGAGGACTCTGAGCTGGGTGGTTTCCTTGCAGACGTCTCGTGACCCAACTAGGGAACATCATCAGTGCTCGCCCGAGGGCTACTGGTTGGGGCACCCGGCTTGACTACCTCTCCGCTCCTCTCCTTCCTCTCTAGGACCAGCCCAAACGGGTCAAGCGGTTCAAGAAATTTTTCAAGAAAGTCAAGAAAAGCGTGAAGAAGCGGCTCAAGAAAATCTTCAAGAAGCCGATAGTCATCGGGGTCTCCATCCCCTTTTAAGACAGGATTCCCGGCCGACGCCCTCCGATCCGAGGAAAAGCCGGCACCGGAAAGGAATGGCGGATGCTCTCGGGGGGGGGGGCAGAATCATTCCCCAATAAGATTATCCACCGATCGATCCATCTGTCAATAAAGACTGTCAATCTCCACATCTGGCCTTTTTTTTTTTTTTCCTATTTTCGATTCTACCTTTCGTGCCGTAACAGCGGTGGGAAGGGACCCTGGAGGTCATCTAGTCCAGCCCCCTGCTCAAGCAGGAACCGCTTACAGAATCATAAATAAGACAGTGGAAAGGGACCTTGGAGGTCATCTAGTCCAGCCCCCTGCTCAAGCAGGAACCGCTTACAGAATCATAAATAAGACAGTGGAAAGGGACCCTGGAGGTCATCTAGTCCAGCCCCCTGCTCAAGCAGGAACCGCTTACAGAATCATAAATAAGACAGTGGAAAGGGACCTTGGAGGTCATCTAGTCCAGCCCCCTGCTCAAGCAGGAACCGCTTACAGAATCATAAATAAGACAGCGGAAAGGGACCCTGGAGGTCATCTAGTCCAGCCCCCTGCTCAAGCAGGAACCGCTTACAGAATCATAAATAAGACAGTGGAAAGGGACCTTGGAGGTCATCTAGTCCAGCCCCCTGCTCAAGCAGGAACCGCTTACAGAATCATAAATAAGACAGTGGAAAGGGACCTTGCAGGTCATCTAGTCCAGCCCCCTGCTCAAGCAGGAACCGCTTACAGAATCATAAATAAGACAGGAACCGCTTGCCTGCCCCGAGGGGACCCACATCGACTTGAGGACTGGTACGTCTTGGCAGAGGAAGCAGAGATCGACATATTGAAGAGGCACCGCCGAAGAAAACAATGGAGCCGCCCCCCACCTGAGCTGACACACCAACCGGTGAAATCATCGGATACAGCCAAGAAGCAAATGGGGTGTTTCAAGTGCGGAAGAGAAGGGCATCGAGCTGTAGAATGCCGCTCAAAGGCCCCCCAGCACAACCCAGACAGATTCCCAATCAACAAACCCGGAAAGTCTTCAGCTAAGCCAAAAGAAACGGCCATGAGAATGATGGAAATTGCAGAACCCCCCACTTCCTGCTCACCAAGGGGAAAGAACTCCAGCCTACACCACAGGGCCGGTGGATGCCTCAGATGACAGCTCGAGGGCGAACCCCTGGTAAGTGGATGCATCACACCCATCTTCAAAACAGTGACTATATTAATCCCCCCCATGCCGAAGCTGTGAAGGTGAAGCCTTAATAGACTCTGGCTGCACCCGCTGCCTCATTAGCCCAACACTAGTGGGGAATCTGGGCATCCCATCCAGGAGACTGGAACAACCAATCTCCTTTGGCCAGCTAGATGGATCCATAGCAGGGGGGGTGCCAGCTACCCTAGCCACTCTACCAATACACCTCTCCCTGGGCAAACATGAAGAGGACATAACGTTTGTGGTGACCCCAGGTATGGAATGCCCAATGATTCTAGGGATGGAATGGTTGAAAAAATGGAACCCCTGGGTAAATTGGAGGACGACAGAAATCAAATTCCCGAAGGGGGACCCTATGGACTTAAAACCCCAAGAGAGGCTACCAGAATCAAGAATAGAAAAAGCATCCATAGGAGAGGAAAAAAGATTAACAGAAATACCAGAGGAATATAGGGACCTTGCTGAAGTCTTCAGTGAGGAGAGGGCGAATGAGCTTCCCCCCCACCGACCCACAGACTGTACCATTGAATTCAAGCCTGGGGCAAAACTCCCGAAGCCCAGATTATACTCCATGAGCCCAAAGGAGAAGGAGGAAATGGAAAGATTTATTTAAAAAAACCTAGAGAGAGGTTTCATTGAGCCAGCCAAGCCTAAAGTGGCTGCCCCGGTCCTTTTTAGAGAGAAGAAGGATGGCTCTTTACGTTTATGCGTGGATTATAGGGCCCTGAATACAATCAGTGAAAGCAACCTATACCCGCTGCCCCTCATGAAAGACATGCTGTCACACCTATCGAAAGGGAAAAATTTTTCTAAACTAGACCTAACGGAAGCTTACTATCACGTGAGAATTAAGGAAGGGGACGAATGGAAGATTGCATTTAACTGCCCCATGGGGTGCTATCAATTCAAAGTCTTGCCATTTGGATTACAAGGGGGCCCTGCAGTCTTTATGCAATTAATCAATGACGTTCTAAGGGAGCACCTGTTTAAGGGGGTCCTTGTTTACTTGGACGACATTCTTATCTTTACTGAAACAAAAGAAGAACACGTCAAACTTGTCAGAGCGGTTTTAAAGAAGCTGCGAGCCGCCCACCTATATGCCAAACTCTCAAAATGCGAATTCCACCAGGAAAGGATAGACTACCTAGGCTATCGCATATCCCCACAGGGCATTGAAATGGACCCAGAGAAGGTCAAAGCAGTATTAGATTGGGCACCACCCCGCACAAGAAAGCAACTACAAAGTTTCCTGGGCTTTGCAAACTTTTACCGCCAATTCATCCCCTCATTTGCCCAGATAGCCTTGCCCCTCACTAACTTACTAAAAACGAAGGGAGCATCCTCAGTAAAACCTAGCCAGCCACTAACATGGACAATGGAGTGCCAAGCAGCATTTGAGAGACTAAAGAGACTTTTTTCTGCCGAACCAGTACTAAGGCACCCAGATATGGACAAGCCCTTCGTAATACAGGCAGATGCAAGTGATGTGGCAGTGGGGGCTGTTCTATTACAAGAAAACAATGAGGGGTATTGCAATCCTGTGCATATACATCCAAGAAACTCACGGAAACAGAACAGCGCTGGCCCGTATGGGAGAAGGAGGCTTATGGGATACGTTGGGCATTACTCACGTGGCGACAGTTCCTGGAAGGCAACAAAATCCCCTTCCAGGTGTGGACTGATCACAAAAATTTAGAAGCCCTGAAAACGTCCAGGAAACTCAATCCCAAACAAGCCCGCTGGTCCCAGCATTTTCACCAGTTCCAATTTAAGCTCAAACATTTACCAGGAAGAAAGAACTTCCTGGCAGATGCTCTATCTCGCATGCCCCAATATAACAGCGCACGAACCACAGACTCTAGACCAATAATGGCAGAGTCACAACTGGCAGCACCAGTAACCACAAGAACCCAAGCCAAAATTAAAACCACAACTGGACAGCCAAACTGGAATTGAATTCAGAAAAAGTTTGGAAACAGATGAATGGTTCCAGAAAAACAAAAATGTGTGCACAATGAGAGACGGGTTGCCTTGGGTAGGGGAAAAGTTATATATACCAACAACCCAAAGAATCACGTTCATGCAGCTTTGCCATGACACAAAATCAGCAGGCATTTTGGATTTGTAAAAACTTTACACTTAATTAAACGGCAATTTTGGTGGCCATCAATAAAAAAGGACATAGAAAGTTATGTTGCCAGCTGCCCAACCTGTGCATCGGCAAAGAGGTTGCAAGGGAAATCGCCAGGGCTATTACAACCAGTGGCAAGTCCCTCAGCCCCCTGGAGGGAAATAGCCATGGATTTTATAGTGGAATTGCCAGAAAGCAATGGGAATACTGTTATCTGGACAGTCACGGACCTATTTTCCAAACAGGTGCACTTTATCCCTTGCCAAAAAATTCCCACTGCAAAGGCCTTAGCAAAACTTTTCATCCAGCACATTTACAGATTGCACGGGGCACCCCAACGCATCATCTCTGATAGGGGAGTGCAATTTACGTCTGCATTTTGGAAGGAATTTTTATCCCTCTTAGGGACCACTCAGGGACTGACATCTAGCCATCATCCACAAGGGGATGGACAAACGGAACGGTGCCATTCGGTACTTGAGCAATATTTGAGATGTTTTTTAAATTTCCAACAGAGTGATTGGACGGACTTACTTCCTTTTGCAGAAGTTGCCTACAATAATGCAGTCCACTCCAGCACAGGCTACACTCCTTTTCAAATAGCCAACGGTCAAAGTTTCAACCCTATGCCAGAGTTAACCCCAAAAGAACCAACGATCCCTTCACTGAAAGAATGGATGGAAAACCTACAAAACACCTGGCCAATAGTCAGAAAATCACTAGATGAAGCTAGGCGGGCATACAAAGCACAAGCCGATAAAAAAAGGGTTGAGCCTACACCATTCATTATAGGAGAAATGGTGTACTTATCTACAAAATACCTAAAGTCCCTACAGCCCTGTAAAAAACTTGGACCAAAATATATAGGACCTTTTCCAATTAAAAGACTCATAAATCCAGTAACAGTAGAATTAGAATTACCCAAAAATCTCAGGCAAATACACCCAATTTTTCATTGCAGCTTGCTGAAAAGAGAGCATCAGTCACCTCTACGGCCAAAAATCCCCCCACCACCACCTCCAATCATGGTAGAGGGTGAACAACACTTCGAAATAAAGGAAATCCTTGACTCTAGGAGATATCATGGAGCAACTCAGTACCTAGTTGCCTGGAAACACCTCCCTGCCTCACAAAACAAGTGGGTCCATAAACGTCATGTCAGAGCCCCGAAGCTATTGAAGAAGTTTCACACAGAGTATCCCAACAAGCCTAACTAACTTTTATACCTGTTTTGTTTTCTTGCAGGTGGATCTCTCTTATTTTTAAGAGGGGCCGGATGTTAGAATCCAATTATATTTCATCTTTAATTATCAAATATAGAAACTCCCAATTCTGCCTTCTCTGGATTCTGCCATAAGAGGGAGAGAAGGGGGAGAACAAAGGGGCTTTATGGCCCTCACTTCCTTCAGTAGACTTCTAAAGAGCTGAATGTGTTTATTGCAACATCAAAGAGAGACTTTGAATGTAAATAGCATCAAAGAACCTTACCATGACAAAAGAGAGCTATTTACCTTTCATGTAGTTATCTGAAGTCTCCATACAGACGAAAGAAAGGAGCAAGGGGGTGGAATTGTGATGCCTGAAACTATCACTGGAAGGGGGGGTGATTGGGTGGGACTGCTGGGGAACCCCTTAAAACCTTGAATGGGAGAGCTTGGACCCCAAGTCCTGTCTAGCATGCCTGCAACCACTTCTTCTTAATAAAGGATTCCTGTTGGAAGAATTATTCCAAGAGTTCTGTCTTCTTAAGATGCAAAGTGGGGTGGGTCCTTACAATGGGTCTACAAAGGGATGGGTCTACTCTACATTCCATAAGAGATGGGTCTACTCTACAAAGGGATGGGTCTACTCTACATCCGATAAGGGATGGGTCTACTCTACATACCATAAGGGATGGGTCTACTCTACATCCCACAAGGGATGGATCTACTCTACAAATGGTTGGGTCTACTCTACATCCCATAAGGGATGGGTCTACTCTACACCCCATAAGGGATGGGTCTACTTTATAAAGGGATGGGTCTACTGTATATCCCATAAAAGATGGGTCTACAAAGGGATGGATCTACTCTATATATCATAAGGGATGGATCTACTCTATATACCATAAGGGATGGGTCTACTCTACATCCAATAAGCGATAGGTTTACTCTACAAAGGGATGGGTCTACTCTACATCCCACAAGGGATGGGTCTATTCAACTCTTGCGATCCTTGGATGAAACCAATTATCTGGACCCTTTTCAATCTGGTTTCAGGCCCGGCTACAGCACTGAGACTGCTTTGGTCGCACTGAGCGATGACCTCTGGCGAGCCCGGGATAGGGGTCATATCCTGGTGCTTCTTGACCTCTCAGCGGCTTTCGATACCATCGAACATGGTATCCTTCTGCGTCGTCTCGGAGAGGTGGGGGTGGGCGGCACCGTATTGCGGTGGTTCTCCTCCTACCTCTCCGACAGGTCGCAGTCGGTGTTGGCGGGCGGACAGAGATCGACCCCTAGGCGCCTCGATCATGGGGTGCCTCAGGGCTCGGTCCTGTCCCCCCTCCTTTTGAACATCTACATGAAACCGCTGGGTGAGATCATTCGGAGACACGGGGTGAGGTATCATCAGTACGCGGATGATACCCAATTATATATCCTTTCAGTGAAGCAGTCGATGTGATGTGCCGGTGCCTGGAAGATGTGAGGGTCTGGATGGGGGTGAACAGGCTTAGACTCAACCCTGACAAGACCGAGTGGCTCTGGGTCTTGCCTCCCAAAGGTCAACTAGATGATCCATCATTAGTCCTGGGGGGGGGCAAATTTACCTCCCTCAGTGCAGGCACGCAACTTGGGTGTCCTCCTGGACTCACAGCTAAATCTGGAACAACATCTATCGGCTGTGGCCAGGGGGACCTTTGCCCAGGTTCGCCTGGTGCACCAGTTGCGGCCTTATCTGGACCGAGAGGCTTTACTCCCAGTCACTCATGCCCTCGTCACCTCAAGACTGGATTACTGTAACGCGCTCTACATGGGGCTACCCTTGAAGAGCGTTCGGAGGCTGCAGTTGGTTCAGAACGCGGCCGTGAGAGCGATTGTGGGCACGCCAAGGTACGCCCACGCGTCACCTATCCTCCGCGAGCCGCACTGGCTTCCTGTGGGTCTCCGGACGCAATTCAAGGTGTTGGTTATCACTTTTAAAGCCCTGCATGGCATAGGGCCAGGTTACTTACAGAACCGCATTCTGCCGCACAGCTCCCAGAGACCGGTGAGGTCCCATAGATTGGGCCTCCTTCAGGTCCCGTCCGCCAGACAATGTCTGGACAAGGGAAGGGCCTTTTCTGTGGTGGCTCCGACCTGGTGGAACCAACTCTCCCCCCCCCCCGAGGTTCGAACAACTCCCACCCTGCCGGCCTTTAAGAAAGCCGTTAAAACTCTCCTGTTCCGGCAGGCCTGGGGCTGATGTCCCCGGGGGGGGGGGGCGATATGATCGGACTCGCGGTACGACTGGATTATTTTATTGTTTTATAGCTGACCTGTCTGTAGGTCCGTCAGCAGCAAGGCCCCCTGAACCCGTGAACCCAACTTCCATAGGAGGGACTCACACCCAACACCCTCCGGGGCAGGAATCCCACGAGGACTCAAGGACCTCCGAGCGATGACTGCCACCCCCCCCACCCCTGCCCTGATGTCGAGGCTGATGAAGCCCCACAAACCCGTCCGGGCACATCTCCGAGAGGGAAACAACCCCCTCAGGGCCCAGCCAGGTTTCGGTGATACAGGCCAGGTCCGCCCCGCTGTCCAGTATTAAATCACGGACAAGGGGGGCCTGGTTGACAACGGACCGGGCATTAAGCAACAGCAGCCTACAACCAGGGCCCTGCACTCCCCCGTCCCCGAAGAATTCCACCCTGGGGGAAAATCCCGGGTTCCCCCCAGCCAGGAAGGCGAGGAGCCGCCTCTCCGGGGCCTGCATAAAAGGAGGACCTGCCGGTCCCCGGGAATCCCATCCGAAGGAGCCAGCGGCGGCCAGGATGGAGGGCTCCTTCTGGAAGACTTTGCTGGTGCTGGCCGTCTGCGGGACCCCCGCCTCCCTCGCCCACCGGCCCCTGAGCTACGGGGAAGCCCTGGAGCTGGCCGTGAGCATCTACAACGGCAAGGCGGGCCAGGCGTCCCTCTACCGCCTGCTGGAGGCCGTTCCTCAGCCCGAGTGGGTAGGTGGCCGGGAGCAGAGTGGGGAGGGAGCCGGGAGGTCATCTAGCCCGACCCCCTGCTCGAGCAGGAGATCCAGGCAGAATCAGGGAAGGACGGAGTGGGGAGGGAGCCGGGAGGTCATCTAGCCCCACCCCCTGCTCAAGCAGGAGACCCTTACAGAATCATAGGACAGAGTTGGAAGGGAGCTGGGAGGTCATCTAGTCCAACCCCCACAGAAATACAGAATAACAGAGTGGGAAGGGACCTTGAAGACCGTCTAGTCCAACCCTCTGCTCAAGCAGGAGATCCTTAAAGAATCATGGAATGACAGAGTTTGAAGGGACCTGGGAGGTCATCTAGTCCAACCCCCTGCTCAAGGAGGACACAGAATTACACAATAACAGAGTTGGAAGGGACCTGAGAGGTCATCTAGTCCAACCCCCAGATCAAGCAGGAGACCCTTACAGAATCATGGAATAACAGAGTCGGAAGGGAGCTGGGAGGTCATCTAGTCCAACCCCCTGCTCAAGGAGGACACAGAATTACACAATAACAGAGTTGGACAGGACTTTGAAGGTCATCTAGTCCAACCCCCAGCTCAAGCAGGAGACCCTTATGGAATCATGGAATAACAGAGTCGGAAGGGACCTGGGAGGTCATGTAGTCCAACCCTCTTCTCAAGCAGGAGATCCTTAAAGAATCATGGAATAACAGAGTTGGAAGGGAGCTAGGAGGTCATCTAGTCCAACCCCCAGCTCAAGCAAGAATCATAGACTAAGAGAGTTGGGAGAGAGCTGGGAGGTTCTCCAGATTCAGGAGACTCCCTCAAGTGTCCTTCAACGTGGTTCCAAAGGAAGGTGGGAGGAAGTCCAGGTGGTTTCCAAATGAACCCCCGTGTCTTGTTTCAGGATCCCAATTCTGAGGGCAGTCAACAGCTGAACTTCACCCTCAAGGAGACGGTGTGCCAGGTGGAAGAAGAACGTTCCCTGGAGGAATGCGGCTTCCAAGAAGACGGGGTGAGTAAGGGATGTTCAAGCTGAGTTGAAGATGGGTCGGAGTTGGAAGGGGGATCCATGGGACGTCTGTAGGATCTCGCTTGGAGTTCTCTTTCCCTTCTACCGTCGTCTTCAGGGATGTCCTTCCTCGCGTTTCTGCAAGTCAACTCTGAGCCCAGGTCCAGGGATAGAGCAGGGACCTACTAGATCAGTGGTTCTCAACCTTTTTAATGCCGCGACCCCCAACCGGTCGTCAGTCAATGACTACTCAACCGGTCGTAAGTCGAGGACTACTCAACGGGCGCAGCACCGTTTGCAGAATGGGACTTTTGGCGGGCTCAGCAGGGCAGAGACAGCCTGGACAATTCCTATTGGCTTTGGAAAGCCAATAGAATTAGACTCTATTCAAGGGAGTCTATCCTATTGGCTTTCAAAAGCCAATAGAATAAAAGGGAGGAGCACAGCTAAGGAAAAGGGGGAAAAAATGGCGGACTGCGTTGTTTGGCGACCCCCGTGAAATGGTCGTTCGACCCCAAATGGGGTCCCGACTCCACAGGTGGAGAACCACTGTATAAGAGAATAACAAAGTTGGGATGGACCGTGGAGATCTTCTCTAGTCTAATCCCCTGCTCAAGCAGGAACTCTCCTCCTCCTCCTCCTCCTCCTCCTCCTCCTCCTCCTCCTCCTCCTCCTCCTCCTCCTCCTCCTCCTCCTCCTCCTCCTCCTCCTCCTCCTCCCTCTTAGCCTTGATGATGTTCCCTAGTTGGGTCATGAAACGTCTGCAAGAAAATCACCCAGCTCAGAGAGCACCCAGGACCCCCAGTCCTTCCTCCTCCTCCTCCTCCTCCTCCTCCTCCTCCTCCTCCTCCTCCTCCTCCTCCTAATAACAGGGTAATAAACTTGGAAGGGACCCTGGAGGTCTTCTAGTCCAACCCCTGCTCAAGCAGGAACTCCTCCTCCTCCTCCTCCCCCTCCTCCTCCTAATAACAGAGTAATAAACTTGGAAGGGACCCTGGAGGTCTTCTAGTCCAACCCCCTGCTCAAGCAGGAACTCTCCTCCTCCTCCTCCCCTCCCCCCTCCCCCTCCCCCCTCCTCTTCCTACTTAAAATTAACCGAATAATATTGGAAGGGGCACTGGAGGTCTTCTAGTCTAATCCCCTGCTCAAGCAGGAACTCTCCTCCTCCTCCTCCTCCTCCTCCTCCTCCTCCTCCTCCCTCCTAGCCTTGATGATGTTCCCTAGTTGGGTCATGAAACGTCTGCAAGAAAATCACCCAGCTCAGAGAGCACCCAGGACCCCACAGTCCTTCCTCCTCCTCCTCCTCCTCCTAATAACAGAATAATAAACTTGGAAGGGACCCTGGAGGTCTTCTAGTCCAACCCCTGCTCAAGCAGGAACTCCTCCTCCTCCTCCTCCTAATAACAGAGTAATAAACTTGGAAGGGACCCTGGAGGTCTTCTAGTCCAACCCCCTGCTCAAGCCGGAACTCTCTTCCTCCTCCCCCTCCTCCTTCTCCTCCTAATAACAGAGTAAGAAACTTGGAAGGGACCCTGGAGGTCTTCTAGTCCAACCCCCTGCTCAAGCAGGAACTCTCCTCCTCCTCCTCCCCTCCCCCCTCCCCCTCCCCCCTCCTCTTCCTACTTAAAATTAACCGAATAATATTGGAAGGGGCACTGGAGGTCTTCTAGTCCAACCCCCTGCTCAAGCGGGATACCCTCCTCCTCCTCCTCCTCTGAATAATAGAACAGCAGAATAACTGACTTGGAAGGGACCCTAGAGGTCTTCTAGTCCCACCCCCTGCTCAAGCAGGAGGCCCTGCCCTCCGCTTTCAGACAAATCATTGTCCCCCCCCCTGGATACAAACCCCCATTCCCGGGAGGGAGGAAAACACGTTCCAAAGATCGAAAGGACGGAGAAGTTTACAAGCCGCACGCAGCTCCTCCCTCGTGGAACGATTCCACCTGGTTGTAGATGGTTTCGGTCTGCCAGGCGTGCAAAAGGTACAAGGAACCGTGCAGAAGAACGTCTGCAGGCCTTTCTCGGGTTCTGGAAGCTGTCAGGACCCAACCGATTAACCGCCTCCACAGCCTTGGAAGCAGTTTGGCTCTTTGATGACTGGTGGACTTCAACCTCCCAGAATTCCCGAGCCAGCCATGCTGAGGGGAAAGGGAGAGGTTTCCAAGCTGAGCCATATTGGCTCAGGAATTCTGGGAGTTGAAGTCCACCAGTCATGAAGGGCCCATACTTCCCCCATGCTGGCAGAGGAATTCTGGGAGTTGAAGTCCACCAGTAATAAAAGAGCCAAGGTGGCCTACCCCTGAGTTACTAGGAAGATGAGGGGACTTCAACTCCCAGAATTCCTCTGCTAGCATGGCACCCTAAACCAGGCGTAGGCCACCTTGGCTCTTTTATGACTCGTGGACTTCAACTCCGAGAATTCCTGAGCCAGCCATGCTGAGGGGAAAGGGAGAGGTTTCCAAGCTGAGCCATGCTGGCTCAGGAATTCTGGGAGTTGAAGTCCACAAGTCATGAAGGGGCTACTTTTCCCCCCCTTGCTGGCTCAGGAATTCTGGGAGTTGAAGTCCAAGTGTCATGAAGGGGCCATAGTTCCCCCATGTTGGCTCAGGAATTCTGGGAGTTTTGAAGTCCCACAGTCATAAAAGGGCCAAGTTTGAAGGCCCCTGGTTTAAATGTTTAAATATTTTTTCCTCAAGGTCAGGTGATCAAAATTCAAACATTTGGGCAGGGCTAGGCCACCTTGGCTCATTTATGACTGGTGGACTTCAACTCCCAGAATTCCTGAGCCAGCCATGCTGAGGGGAAAGGGAGAGGTTTCCAAGCTGAGCCAGGCTGGCTCAGGAATTCTGGGAGTTAAAGTCCACGAGTCATGAGGGGGGGCCACAGTTCCCCCATGCTGACTCAGGAATTCTGGGAGTTGAAGTCCATCAGTCATAAAAGAGCCAAGGTTGCCTACCACTGCCCTAAAGTAAGCTAGTCCTCAACTTACGACGGCTCCGTTTAGTGCCCATTTTACAACAAGTCAACTTACGACGGTCCTTTTAGTGACCAAGTTACAACGGCCCCCCCAAAAATGACACGTCCATTTTATAAAGTCCTTGACTTACGACGGTTCTGTTTAGTGACTGAAGTTACGATGGCACTGAAAAAAGTGACATGTCCATTTTATAAGGAGTCCTTGACTTACGACAATTCTGTTTAGTGACCAAAGTCGCAAGAGCCCTGAAAAAAATGGCTTATGTCCATTTTACAGAAAGTCCTTGACTTACGATGGTCCGTTTAGTGACCGAAGTCACAACAGCCCTGAAAAAAGTGACATGTCCATTATACAGGGAGTCCTCGACTTACGATGGTCTATTTAGTGATCAAAGTTACAATGGGCCTGAAAAAATTGATTTATATCCATTTTACAGGGAGTCCTTGACTTACGACGGTACTGTTTAGTGACCGAAGTCACGATGGACCTGAAAAAAGTGACTTATGTCCATTTTATAAGGAATCCTCGACTTACGACAGTTCTGTTTAGTGATCAAAGTCACGACGGCCCTGAAAAAAGTGACTTATGTCCATTTTATAAGGGGTCCTCGACTTACGACAGTTCTGTTTATTGACCAAAGTCGCAAGATCCCTGAAGAAAAGGGCTTATGTCCATTTTACAGGGAGTCCTTGACTTACGACGGTCCTGTTTAGTGACTGACGACCTTGAAAAAAATGACTTATGTCCATTTTATAAGGAGTTCTCGACTTATGACGGTCCTGTTTAGAGATCAAAGTTACGACAGCCCTGAAAAAGAAGGGTGAGGTGGTTGTAAAGTGAGGACTATCTGCGGTGAGGGAGAGGCTGAGGCTTCTATCTTAGCTGGCCTAAGATCCTTCTAGAACAGGGGTCCCCAATCTGTAGGCCACGGTGCCCTACCGATCCGTGGCTTACTCAGAAGCAGGCCGCGTGAGTGACTCGAACTCGGGACCTCGTGCGTGCAACCGTCGCTCGCTGAAGGCCGCTCCCTAGGAGCGGAGAAGGGGGTCTCCATGGAGCCGAATCTTGATTCTCATCCGGCTTTCGTCCCCTTGACAGGTGGTCCTGGAGTGTACAGGCTACTATTTCTTTGGGGAGACGCCCCCGGTGGTCGTCCTCTCCTGTGTACCTGTGGGCGGGGTGGAGGAGGAGGAGGAGGAGGAGGAGGAGGAGGAGCCGAAGGCAGAGGCGGAGAACGACGAGGAGGTGGAGAAGGAGAAGGAGGACGAGGAGAAGGTAAGAAGGGGGCATGGTGGGGGACGTCTCATGACTCAACTAGGGAACGTCATCAGGGCTAGAAGGAGGAGGAGGAGGAGGAGGAGGAGGAGGAGGAGGAGGAGGAGGAGGAGGAGGAGGAGGAGGAGGAGGAGGAGGAGGAGCCGAAGGCAGAGGCGGAGAACGACGAGGAGGTGGAGAAGGAGGATGAGGAGAAGGTAAGAAGGGGGCATGGTGGGGGACGTCTCATGACTCAACTAGGGAACGTCATCAGGGCTAGAACGGAGGAGGAGGAGGAGGAGGAGGAGGAGGAGGAGGAGGAGGAGGAGGAGGAGGAGGAGGAGGAGGAGGAGGAGGAGGAGGAGGAGGAGAAAAAGACTGTGGGGTTCTTGGTGCTGTCTGAGATTGGTGGTTTCTTCGCAGACGTCTCACGACCCAACTTGGGAACATTATCAGTGGGAGGAGGAGAAGGAAGGAAGGAAGGAAGGAAGGAAGGAAGGAAGGAAGGAAGGAAGGAAGGAAGGAAGGAAGGAAGGATGGAAGGAAGGAAGGAAGGAAGGAAGGAAGGGGGGAGAGAGAGAGGAAGGAAGGAAGGAAGGAGAGAGAGGAAGGAAGGAAGGAAGGAAGGAAGGAAGGAAGGAAGGAAGGAAGGAAGGAAGGAAGGAAGGGGGAGAGAGAGAGAGGAAGGAAGGAAGGAAGGGAAGGAGAGAGAGGAAGGAAGGAAGGAAGGAAGGAGAGAGAGAGAGAGAGGAAGGAAGGAAGGAAGGAGAGAGAGAGAGAGGAAGGGAGGGAGGGAGGAGGAGGAGGAGAAGGAGGAAGAGGAGAAAAAGACTATGGGGTCCTTGGTGGTTTCTTTGCAGACGTCTCACGACCCAACTTGGGAACCTTATCAGTAGGAAGAAGAGAAGGAAGGAAGGAAGGAAGGAAGGAAGGAAGGTAGGAAGGAAGGAAGGAAGGAAGGAAGGAAGGAAGGAAGGAAGGAAGGAAGGGGAGAGAGAGAGAGGAAGGGAGGGAGGGAGGAGGAGGAGAAAAAGACTATGGGGTCCTTGGTGCTCTTTGAGATTGGTGGTTTCCTTGCAGACGTCTCACGACCCAACTTGGGAACATTATCAGTGGAAGGAGGAGAAGGAAGGAAGGAGAGAGAGAGAGAGGGAGGGAGGGAGGGAGGAGGAGCCAGAGCAGGAGGAGGAGGAAGGACTGGGGGGCTCCCTGGTTCTCTCAGAGCTGGGTGGTTTCCTTGCAGACGTCTCGTCACCCAACTAGGGAACATCATCAGTGCTCGCCCGAGGGCTACTGGTTGGGGCACCCGGCTTGACTACCTCTCCGCTCCTCTCCTTCCTCTCTAGGACCAGCCCAAACGGGTCAAGCGGTTCACATTTTACAAGAAAGTCAAGAAAAGCATGAAGAACCTGCTCAACAAATTCTTCAATAATCTGAAGGTCATCGGGGTCTCCATCCCCTTTTAAGGCAGGATTCCCAGCCAACGCCCTCCGATCCGAGGAAAAGCCGGCACCGGAAAGGAATGGCGGAGGCTCTCGGGGGGGGCGAGGGGGGCAGAATCGTTCCCCAATAAGATTATCCACCGATCGATCCATCTATCAATAAAGACTGTCAATCTCCATATCTGCCTTTTTTTTTCCCTATTTTTGATTCTACGTTTCATGCCGTAACAGCGGTGGAAAGGGACCCTGGAGGTCATCTAGTCCAGCCCCCTGCTCAAGCAGGAACCGCTTACGGAATCATAAATAAGACAGTGGAAAGGGACCCTGGAGGTCATCTACTCCAGCCCCCTGCTCAAGCAGGAACCGCTTACAGAATCATAAATAATGGAAAGGGACCCTGGGGGTCATCTAGTCCAGCCCCCTGCTCAAGCAGGAACCGCTTACAGAATCATAAATAAGACAGTTGAAAGGGACCCTGAAGGTCATCTAGTCCATCCCCCTGCTCAAGCAGGAACCGCTTACAGAATTATAAATAAGACAGTGGAAAGGGATCCTGGAGGTCATCTAGTCCAGCCCCCTGCTCAAGCAGGAACTGCTTACAGAATCTTAAATAAGACAATGGAAAGGGACCCTGGAGGTCATCTAGTCCAGCCCCCTGCTCAAGCAGGAACCGCTTACGGAATCATAAATAAGACAGTTGAAAGGGACCCTGAAGGTCATCTAGTCCAGCCCCCTGCTCAAGCAGGAACCACTTACAGAATCATAATAAGACAGTTGAAAGGGACCCTGGAGGTCATCTAGTCCAGGCCCTTGCTCATGCAGGGTCCTCATGCAGGGTCCTCCTCCTCCTCCTTCTCCTCCTCCTCCTCCTCCGAATAACAGTGGTGGAAGGGACCCTGGAGGTCTTCTAGTCCAGCCCCCTGCTCAAGCAGGAAACCCTTACAGAATCTTAAATGACAGTTGGAAGGGACCTTGGAGGTCATCTAGTCCAGGCCCTTGCTCGTGCAGGAAACCTTTACAGAATCATAAATGACAGTTGGAAGAGACCTTGGAGGTCATCTAGTCCAGCATTTTTTTCCTTCTCCTCCTCCTCCTCCGAATAACAATGGTGGAAGGGACCCTGGAGGTCTTCTAGTCCAACCCCCTGCTCAAGCAAGAAGTCCTATTTTGCAAAGAAAAGACATACTCTGTCCAATTTCGACATTTATTTCCATATTTTTTTAAAAAAACAACACTACAAATACTTCTGCCCTCTCCCCGTTGCATTCCACCCCTTTTCCCATAAGTCCTCTTGGGCGGGAATATTTCGCTTTCTGCCCCGGGCTCAGAGTTCGAATTCTCCTTTCCAATTCAACATGGGCACAAACGCTCCTCTCTAGTTGCCATCTTTGGCTCTTCGCCCTGGATTCAGAGTTTGAAATCTTGCTTCCAATTTAACCCGGACCCAAACGCTCCTCTCTGGCTGGCAATCTTTCGCTCTCTCCGCACTGGCTTCAGAGTTCAAATTCTCCCTTCCAATTCAACATGGGCCCAAATGCTCCTCTTTGGCTGCCAACGTTCGCTCTCCGTCCCGGGTTCGGAGTTCGAATTCTCCTTTCAAATTCAACACAGGCACAATCACTCCTCTCTGGCTGCCATCTTTGGCTCTCCCACCCCGGGTTCGGAGTTCGAATTCTCCTTCCAAATTCCAAACGGGCACAAACTTTTTCAAAAAGCCCGGATCGGATCCAAACTGGACAAATGGGAGACTCCCCACCCACCCCACCCCACCCCGTCGTTTTATGCGGAAATGATTTTCCTCGGATCGAAAGACGTCTGGAGGCCGGCTCTTCCGTTATCCTGTGATTTTTCCAAGAATTTGCTTCTGGAGAAAAATCTGAGCGCCCGTCTTGGTGACTATCTTGATGCCTTTTTTTGCGCCTTTCTTGATCTTCTTAAAAAGCTTCTTCAGTTTCTTGAAACGTTCCGGTTGATCCTAGACATGGAACAAAAAGGGTTGTCTCTGGTCAAGCTTGGTTCCCCAACGGGTAGCCCGCGGGCCATTCTCACACACACACACACACACACACACACACACACACACACACACCTTCCTCTTTCTGCTTCCAGGCTGCTCAAAAATTATTAAAGACCTGGATTTAATAATAATAATAATAATAATAATAATAATAATAATAATAATAATAATAATAATAGCTGGAATAGTGGACTGGACTCAAGCAGAATTAAAAGCAATGGAAAGGCAGACCAGAAAAATAATAACAATGAATCATGCCCTTCATCCACGCAGTGACATTGACAGACTTTATCTACCAAGGCAAATAGGTGGGCGTGGAATGCTACAAGTACATCAGATGGTTGAAGAAGAAAAAATGGCTTTGGAAGAATATCTGAAGAACAATGATGAAGATGCACTGAAATCAGTATATCAGGAAGGCTTACTGACTACTGGAGAGACCAAACTGGCCTACAAGAAAGACCAAATGAAGAACAGAATAGAGGCATGGGAAGACAAAGCACTACATGGCCAATACATGAAAAAAATAGCTGGGAAAGCAGATAATAATAAAACCTGGCAATGGCTAAGAGCAGGAAAATTGAAGAAAGAGACCGAGGGACTAATTCTGGCTGCACAAGACCAAGCCTTAAGGACAAATGCATACAAAGTCAAAATTGAGAAGACAGCAACAGACAGTAAGTGCCGCCTATACAAAGAAGCTGAAGAAACAGTGGACCACCTGGTAAGCTGTTGCAAGAAGATTGCACAGACTGACTACAAGCAGCGGCATGACAAAGTAGCAACAATGGTGCATTGGAAGATCTGCAAAAAATATCATTTGCCTGTAAGCAAAAACTGGTGGGATCATAAAATAGAGAAAGTCATAGAAAATGGTAAAATTAAACTGCTCTGGGACTTCGAATTCAAACAGACAAGCACCTGCAACACAACACCCCAGACTGAACAATTGTCGATAAGAAAGACAAAAAAGTCTGGGTAGTGGACATGGCAGTGTCTGGAGACAGCAGAATAGATGAGAAAGAACTGGAGAAGATAACAAAATACAAAGACCTACAAACAGAAATAGAAAGACTGTGGCGAAAGCAAGCAAGGGTAGTACCAATAGTCATAGGCTCCTCGGGTGCAATCCCAAAACAACTGGAGCACCACTTGAACACCATTATCGGCATTGACAAATTCGCTATTAGTCAATTGCAAAAGGTGGCCTTACTAGGAAATGCTTCCATCCTGCGACGATATCTGTAATACCATCAAACATCCACATCTGCCTATCCCAGGTCCTGGGCAAGGACTTGATAGGTAGACACAATGCCAAATCCAGTCTGAACATCTGGCTGACTGTGCGATGATCAATAATAATAATAAAAGTTGGAAGGGACCTTGGAGGTCATCTAGTCCAACCCCCTGCTCAGGCAGGAAACCCTAGACCATTTCGGACAAATGGCTGTCCAGTCTCTTTTTAAAAACTTCCAGTGTTGGAGCATTCACCACTTCTGGAGGCAGGTGGTTCCACTGGTTAATTGTTCTCACTGTCAGGAAGTTTCTCCTTAGTTCCAGGTTATTTCCGGACGGCAAAGGGATCCTATTTTACACCCTTTGTGGATTAAGATGGAGATTCTACCCGCTTTGCGGCTGCGGATTTGATTAGGGAAATGCAGACTAAAAATGGCATTGCCCAGAAGTTGTGTCCCCAAAGAAGAGGGAGTAAACTTACTCTCTCAAGGTGGAGCAAGAAACAACGGATGGAAACTCATCAAGGAGAGAAGCGACCAGGAACTCAGGAGAAACTTCCTGACAGTGAGGACAATTTAACCAGGGGAACAACTGGCCACCAGAGGTTGTGAATGCTTCAACACTGGAGGTGTTTAGAATAGAAGGACGAGGGGGGACAGGATAGCTGCGTTCCAGTATCTCAGGGGCTGTCCCAAAAAAGAGGGAGTCAAGCTATTTTCCAAAGCCCCTGAAGGCAGGACAAGAAGCAACGGGTGGAAACTAATCAAGGAGAGAAGCAACCTGGAACTAAGGAGAAACTTCCTGACAGGGAGAACTGTTAATCAGTGGAACCACCTGCCTCCAGAAGCGTAAATGCTCCAACACTGGAAGTTTTCAAGAAGAGACTGGACAGCCATTTGTCTGAAATGGTATAGGGTTTCCTGCCTGAGCAGGGGGTTGGACTAGATGACCTCCAAGGTCCCTCCCAACTTTATTATTATTATTATTATTATTTAGAATAGAATATAGAATATAGAATACAATAGAATATAGAATATAGAATACAATATAGAATATAGAATAGAATATAATATAGAATATAGAATAGAGTAGAAACTAATAGAATAGAATATAGAATATAGAATATAGAATAGAATATAGAATATAGAATAGAATATAGAATAGAGAAGAGAATAGAGAATAGAATATAAATAGAATATAGAGTAGAAACTAATAGAATAGAATATAGAATATAAAATATAGAATATAGAATATAAAATAGAATAATCCTCCTCCTGCTTTCTATCACTGATGATGTTCCCTAGTTGGGTCATGAAATGTCTGCAAGGAAACCACCAAATTTAGTGAGTATCAAGGGCCCCTCAATCCTCCTCCTCCTCCTCCTCCTCCTCCTCCCCCCCCCTTCTAGCACTGAGGATGTTCCCTAGTTGGGTCATGAAATGTCTGTAAGAAAATAACCAAGCTCAGAGAGCATCAGGGACCCCATAGTCCTTTTCTTCTTCTTCTTCTTCTTCTTTTCTTCTTCTTCTTCTTCTTCTTCTTCTTCTTCTTCTTCTTCTTCTTCTTCTTCTTCTTCTTCTTCTTCTTCTTCTTCTTCTTCTTCTTCTTCTTCTTCTTCTTCTTCTTCTTCTTCTTCTTCTTCTTCTTCCTCCTCCTCCTCCTCCTTTCCACAAACCCCACTCCCTTCTAGCACTGATGGTGTTCCCTAGTTGGGTCATGAAACGTCTGCAAGGAAACCAACCAGCTCAGAGAGCACCAAGGACCTCATAGTCTTTTTCTCCTCCTCCTCCTCCTCCTCCTCCTCCTCCTCCCCCCCCTCCATTCTAGCACTGATGATGTTCCCTAGTCGGGTCATGAAACGTCTGCAAGGAGACCACCCAGCTCGGAGAGCACTAAGGACCTGACAATTCTACGGTTTCCCCAATTTACTTAATTACTTAATTAAGTTTCCAGCCTGCCTGAACACTGGGCAGGTTACTGGTTTTCAGGAGGCACCAAAGCTTGGGAGATCCCACCTACGTGGGATCTCCTCTTCCAAACACGCGACGAACGAAGGGCTTCGGCTGAGGTGGGGTCTCCTCCACCTGACCAAGGGTTCAACCCTTCGTTTCGAGCTCATCACCCATTTTCTTACCTCCTCCTCCTCTTCCTCTTCTTCTTCCTCTATTCCCTCCACGGCGTCGCAGCTGACAAAAGCCAGCGGGGGCTTCTCCTGAAGGAAATAGGTGGCCGTGCATTCTCTGACCACCTACAGTGGAGAAGAAACAGGCTGAGAATCCAGCCATCTTCCAGATCGGACCCCACGGAGACCGCCATCTTGTTTTTTTTTCCTCCATAGGAGAGATCTGGGATCACCCTCTGGCGTTGTCCTTCCAGGGCAGTGTTTCTCAACCTTGACAATTTTAAGGCATGACAACACCAGAGGGTGATCCCAGGCCTGGCTTCAGCACAGAAACCGCTTTGGTCGCGCTGATGGATGACCTCTGGCGGGCCCGAGACAGAGGTCATTTTCCTCTGTCTTGGTGCTACTTGACCTCTCAGCGGCCTTCGATACCATCGATCATGGTATCCTTTTGCGACGACTGGAAGGGGTGGGAGTGGGAGGCACCGTTTTACGGTGGTTCTCCTCCTACCTCTCTGGCCGGTCGCAATTGGTATTGGTGGGAGGGCAGAGGTCAACCCCGAGGCCCCTTGAATGCGGCGTGCCACAGGGGTCGGTCCTCTCCCCCCTCCTATTTAACATTTATATGAAGCCGCTGGGTGAGATCATCAGACAGCACGGGGTGAGGTTTCATCCGTATGTTGATGATACCCAGCTGTATATCTCCTCCTCGAGCTCTCTCAGTGAAGCGGCCGATGTGATGGGCCGTTGCCTCGAAGCCGTGAGGGTCTGGATGGGGGTTAACAGACTCAGGCTCAATCCTGACAAGACCGAGTGGCTTTGGATGTTGCCTCCCAAGGATCGTGTCGACTGTCCAGTGTTGACTCTTGTGGGGGGAAAACATACCCCCTTCGGAGCGGGTTCGCAACTTGGGTGTCCTCCTTGATCCACAGCTGAATTTGGAACATCAATTGACGGCTGTGGCTGGGAGGACCTTTGCACAAGTTCGCCTGTTGCACCAGTTGCGACCCTACCTGGACCGCCGGGAGGCTCTCCTTACAGTCACTCCCGCCCTTGTCACCTCACGTTTGGACTACTGCAACGCGCTCTACATGGGGCTACCCTTGAAAAGTATTCGGAGACTACAGTTGGTCCAGAATGCAGCCGCGCGAGTGATAGCGGGTGCTCCTCGATACACCCACGTTACACCTATCCTCCGCGAGCTGCACCGGTTGCCTATTGGTCTCCGGGTCCAATTCAAGGTGTTGGTCATTACCTTGAAAGCCCTATCTGGCTCAGGGCCAGGCTATTTGCGAGACCGCCTACTACCTCATAGTTCCCTTCATCCGGTTAGATCCCACAGGCTGGGCCTCCTTCAGGCCCCGTCGGCCAAGCAGTGCCATTTGGCGAGGCCGCGGAGGAGGGCCTTCTCTGTGATGGCGCCCACGCTTTGGAATCAGCTCCCCCCCGGAGATTAGGACCGCTCCCACCCTGTTGGTCTTCCGTAAGCTACTTAAGACCTGGCTTTTCCGGCAGGCCTGTGGTTTATAAAACCTGACCCCTGGGTGATTGTTTTTGTATTGTTGTTTGTTATGTTTTATGTGTTTTTTATTGTTAGCCGCCCAGAGTCCTTCGGGAATGGGGCGGCTTATAAATTTTAATAATAATAATAATAATAATAATAATAATAATAATAATAATAATGATGATGTGGACTTCAACTCCCAGAATTCCACAGCCAGCATTGCTCCCCGCGTTCTGGGAGTTGAAGTCCACATGCCTTAAAATGATCAAGGTTGAGAAACACTGTTCCAGGGCAACCTTGGACAAGCTAAGCCGATTCAACCTCTTCATGCACCCTTTCGTTGTCGAGGGATGAGCTGTTGAAGGGTTCGCGTGTCGGATTCCTTCCCCGTCCCCTGGATCTGGGTCAAAGAGATGACGGGAAGAACCAGGAGGGAGAACCTCCTTCAAGACAAAGGTAGGAGGCCAAGAGGCAGCCTTAACTACGATCTTTTCTCCACCTGGTGGAGATGGAGATCCAGTTTTATCTATGCCAGGAAGATCCTAACGATGTTCCTTAGCCGGTGGGGGATTCAAACATCGGAACAACCAGTTCTCTGCATGGAGACAGGCCTGGGCCTCCAAGGCCTAGAACGGACTTCCGGAAGTGGCATCCATGCACTTCCGGTGGGCCCTTCTAGGTCTGGGAGGCTTCCTCCAGGCCCCCGAGGCCTAGAACGGACTTCCGGAAGTGGCATCCATGCACCTCTGGTGGGCCCTTCTAGGCCTGGGAGGCTTCCTCCAGGCCTCTGAGGCCTAGAACGGACTTCCGGAAGTGTCATCCATGTACTTCTGGCGGGCCCTTCTAGGCCTGGGAGGCTTCCTCCAGGCCTCTGAGGCCTAGAACCAGACTTTCGGAAGTGGCATCCATGTACTTCCAGCAGGCCCTTCTAGGCCTGGGAGGCTTCCTAAACGCTTCCGAGGCCAAGAACGGACTTCCGGAAGTGGCATCCATGCACTTCCGGTGGGCCCTTCTAGGTCTGGGAGGCTTCCTCCAGGCCCCCGAGGCCTAGAACGGACTTCCGGAAGTGGCATCCATGCACTTCCGGTGGGCCCATCTAGGCCTGGGAGGCTTCCTCCAGGCCCCCGAGGCCTAGAATGGACTTCCGGAAGTGGCATCCATGCACCTCTGGTGGGCCCTTCTAGGCCTGGGAGGCTTCCTCCAGGCCTCTGAGGCCTAGAACGGACTTCCGGAAGTGGCATCCATGTACTTCCGGCAGGCCCTTCTAGGCCTGGGAGGCTTCCTAAAGGCTTCCGAGGCCAAGAACGGACTTCTGGAAGTGGCATCCATGCACTTCCGGCGGGCCCTCCTAGGCCTGGAAAGCTTCCTCCAGGCCTCCGAGAACGGACATCTGGAAGTGGCATCTATGCACTTCCAGCAGGCCCTTCTAGGCCTGGGAGGCTTCCTCCAGGCCTCTGAGGCCTAGAATGGACTTCCGGAAGTGGCATCCACGCACTTCCACCGGGCCCTTCTAGGCCTGGGAGGCTTCCTCCAGGCCTCTGAGGCCTAGAACTGGACTTCTGGAAGTGGCATCCACGCCCTTCCGGCAGGCCCTTCTATGCCTCGGAGGCTTCCTAAAGGCTTCCAAGGCCTAAAACGGACTTCCGGAAGTGGCATCCATGCACTTCTGGTGGGCCCTTCTAGGCCTGGGAGGCTTCCTCCAGGGCTCCGAGGCCGAGAACGGATTTCCGGAAGTGGCATCCACGCCCCTCCGGCCGGCCCTTCTAGGCCTGGGAGGCTTCCTCCAGGTCTCTGAGGCCTAGAACGGACTTCTGGAAGTGGCATCCATGCACTTCCAGTGGGCCCTTCTAGGCCTGAGAGCCCTGCTCTACGTGCATTCCACCAGTTCTCCGAACTCAACCAAATTTAGCTCCCACTTCTGCCGAACCAGGGTGAACCGGCGGAATCGCACCGCCGCCCATAGCCCTGTCTCCGTGTACGTGTTGGAGGAACAAGAAACATCTGCTGAAGGGTTCAGGTTTTGAGTCCCTTCTCCATCCGTGGAGCTGGGCAAAGACCACCGAGGTGCTTTTTTCACAAGGCAACTGGACTTCCAGGAAAAAGCGAGGAAGTTCAGTCTTGAAAAAAGCACCTTGGAGGACAACCAGCACCTGGATAATGGAGAATCTCCACAGACATGTGAGCTATGAGCTCGCTTGGAAAATTGAGAGAACATCCCTCAAGACAAAAGTTAGAAGGGAAAGAAGCAGTCCTGTCTATGGTCGTTCTTCCGCCCAGTGGGATGGACATCCGGCTTCATGTCCTTCAGGGAGATCCTACAGATGTCCCGTGGCTCTTGTCTCCATCTACAAGCTGGCCCAGCTTCTCACTGATCACAATCGATCACCAACCCAGCTTGGCCGTGATCACTCACCCCGTCTTCCTTGAAGTTGCATTCGTCCGAAAAATGTTCTTTTCCTGCTGGACACACTGTCTCTTTGATGGTGAACTTCAACTCTTGGGTGCCTTCAGAATTGGGATCCTGAAAGAAGACATGGCCAAGTAGAGCGGTTACTTTGAAGGCCACCTGGACCTTCTCCCTGTTTAACATTGGGATCATTTCTGAACCACTCTTGATGGAGACACCTGAATGTGGCTCCAGAGAAGAACCCGTGAAGGTTCCAGATGCGCTTCCTACCAGGCCCATCATCCTGACTGACCATGGATGGAGTGTTCAAGATCTCCATTCTAGGAGAACAGGGTGGATGGATCCCTGAAAGGAAGGACTCCATCAATCCTGTTCTTCTAGAATGGAGATCTTCTAGTAAGGGATGGGACTACTCTACATGCCATAATGGATAGGCCTACCCTACATCTCATAAGAGATGAGTTTGCTCTACATCCCATAAGGGATGGGTCTACTCTACATCCCACAAGGGATGAATCAAGTCTAAAAGGGTTGGGTCTATTTTACATACCATAAGGGATGGGTCCACTCTATACCCTACAAGGGATGGGTCTACTCTACACCCCATAAGGGATGGGTATACCCTACAAGGGATGGGTCTACTCTACACCCCATGAGAGATAGGGCTAATGTACACCCCATAAGGGATGGGTCTATTCTACATCCCACAAGTGATGGGTCTACACTACAAAGGTATGGGTCTACTCTACATCCCATAAGGGATGGGTCTACTCTATGTAGCACAAGGGATGAATCTACTCTACAAATGGTTGGGTCTACTCTACATACCATAAGGGATGGGTCTAATCTACACCCCATAAGGGATGGGTCTATTCTACATCCCATAAGTGATGGGTCTACACTACAAAGGTATGGGTCTACTCTACATACCATAAAGGATGGGTCTACTCTACATACCATAAGGGATGGGTCTACTCTATACCCCATAAGGGATGGGTCTATTCTACACCCCATAAGAGATGCGTCTACTCTACATCCCACAAGGGATGGGTCTACTCTACATCTGATAAGCGATGGGTCTACTGTACAAAGGGATGGCTCTACTCTACATACCACAAGGTATAGGTCTACTCTACACCCCATAAGTGATGGGTCTACTCTACACCCCATGGGTCTAATCGGCATCCCATAAGCAATGGGTCTACTCTACAAAAGGATGGATCTACTCTACATACCATAAGGGATGGGTCTACTCTACATCTCACAAGGGATGAATCTACTCTACAAATGGTTGGATCTACTCTACATACCATAAGGGATGGGTCTACTCTACATATCATAAGGGATGGGTCTATTTACGTGCCACAAGGGATGAATCTACTCTACAAAGGGTTGGGTCTACTCTACACCCCATAAGGGATGGTTCTACTCTACAACCCATGGGTCTACTCTACATCCCATAAGTAATGAGTCTACTCTACAAAGGGATGGGTCTACTCTACAAATGGATGGATCTACTCTACATACCATAACGGATGAGTCAACTCTACATCTCACAAGGGATGAATCTACTCTACAAATGGTTGGATCTACTCTACATACCATAAGGGATGGGTCTACTCTACATACCATAAGGGATGAGTCTATTTACATCCCACAAGGGATGAATCTACTCTACAAAGGGTTGGGTCTACTCTACACACCATAAGAGATGGGCCTACTCTACAAAGGGATGGGTCTACTGTATATCCCATAAAAGATGGGTCTACAATGGGATGGATCTACTCTATATACCATAAGGGATGGGTCTACTGTACAAAGGGATGGGTCTACTCTACATCCAACAAGGGATGGGTCTACTCTACACCCCATAAGAGATGGGCCTACTCTATATCCAATAATGATGGGTTTACTCTACAAAGGGATGGGTCTACTTTACATCCCATAAGGGATGGGCCTACTTTACAAAGAGATGGGTCTACTCTACATCCCATAAGGGATGGATTTACTCTAAGGGAGTACACAAGGGACCCAACAGGAAGAGTACAGACCCATTCAGGTTGAGGAACAGCCTCCAGCAGACGGTAGAACGAGTCTTCCTCCGCTTTGCTGTTGTAGAGGACCACTCCCTGTGACACAGCCTCGTCATACCTCAACAACTGGTGTGACAGTGCACAACGTCCAGAGGCTGAAAGAGCCCCAAGCACCAGCACGGTCTTCCAGAAGTAGCTTCCCATCCTTGGTTCTCCTGCTACGGAGGTCCACCGCAGATGTGGTTCCTGGGAAGAGGGAGTTCTCCTTTTTATGCCCGGATACTCAGCTCGTTGCCTTCCTGACAGATGACTTGGGGATTTCCACCCCACCGAATTCTCCAAGGTTCTTCCTGCAAAACAAGGTGGACAGAGGAACGAGGACTTTGAGACTCGTTTATGGTCCTCGGGGCTCCACTGGCACCTCTTCCTCGACCTTGGGGCAATTCTCCAGCGTCTCTGGAAGAGGAATTCTGGGAGATGAAGTCCCCCACCCCACCGGTCTTGAGAAAGCGTGTCTTACAGGGGGAGGTCTTCAGATCCACCTCCATCCAGTTGTCGGTCTTAGCTCCATCAACTCATTCCATGTCCTAGCTTGAGTTCTATGGAGATTCTTCGCTCATCCAGGGCTACAGCTCTTCCAAAGGTGCTTTTTTTGTGTTGTTTTCAAGAGGCCACTTGGGGACAGACCAACCAGGACTTTGAGACTTATTTTACGGTCTTCGAGGCTCCGACTGGCAGCGTTCCAGATCAGGGTTCCTTTTATTGCTAATTGTAAAAAAAAAAAATTTTCCTTCAAAATAGATTTATTCAGAGACCATCTCAACCTTTCCTTAGATCAGTGGTTCTCAACCTTTTTAATGCCGCGACCCCCAACCGGTTGTAAGTCGAGGACTACTCAACTGGTGCAGCACCGTTTGCAGAATGGGACTTTTGGCGGGCTCAGCAGGGCAGAGACAGTCTGGACAATTCCTATTGGCTTTGGAAAGCCAATAGAATGAGACTCTATTCAAGAGAGTCTATTCTATTGGCTTTCAAAAGCGAATAGAATAAAAGGGAGTAGCACAGCTAAGGAAAAGGGGGAAAAAATGGCGGACTGCGTTGTTTGGCGACCCCCGTGAAATGGTCGTTCGATCCCAAATGGGGTCCCGATCCACAGGTTGAGAACCACTGCCTTAGATCCTTTCCATGTCATTTTAATTGGGTTATGGTCTGCCCTAATCTTTGGTTCCATTTCAACTTCCCATATCCTAGTCTTCAGGGCATGGGAGATCCATATCGTGTCTATTCTTGACCAAGATTTATGCCTGTTAGAGCAGTGGTTCTCCACCTGTGGGTCGGGACCCCATTTGGGGTCGAACGACCATTTCACGGGGGTCGCCAAACAACGCAGTCTGCCATTTTTTTCCCCCTTTTCCTTAGCTGTGCTCCTCCCTTTTACTCTATTGGCTTTTGAAAGCCAATAGAATAGACTCTCTTAAATAGAGTCTAATTCTATTGGCTTTCAAAAGCCAATAGGAATGGTCCAGGCTGTCTCTGCCCTGCTGAGCCCGCCAAAAGTCCCATTCTGGAAACGGTGCTGCACCAGTTGAGTAGTCCATGACTTACGACCGGTTGAGTAGTCCTCGACTGACGACCGGTTGGGGGTCGCGGCATTAAAAAGGTTGAGAACCACTGTGTTAGAATAAAAGGTATATTGTGTCTTTCCTGGATTCATCTCTCGCCGTATATCCTGCAAACATAGTTCATCTTTCATTTTTAAACAAGATTTAGATAAAATATTACTTCCTTCCGTCCCTTCTTTATGGCTTTTGTAGTCTCGAACTGCATCCACAATTGCATTAAAGTCTCCCAATATACAAAGACTATGATAATTTAAATCCACAAGTTTGTCGTATAGTTGTTGAAAAAAAAAATCGCTCTTGTTTCTCATTGGGGGCATATATTGCCACCAACAATATTTGGTTTTGATTCCATGAAATCTCCACCATCACTATTCTTCCTTCCTCATCAGAATAAATTTGTTTTGGATTCAACTTTTCTTTTATATATACACATATCATGATCCCTCTTTTCTTTTGTAGCGCCGAAGAGAAATAAAGTTTGCCTAGTTTTGGCTGTTTTAAAATTCTAGAGTGCCATCTCTTAATATGAGTCGCTTGTAGACAAATTATGTCCATTTTAAGTTTCTGTAGCCCAGTGGTTCTCAACTTGTGGGTCGGGACCCCATTTGGGGTCGAACGACCATTTCACGGGGGTCGCCAAACAACGCAGTCCGCCATTTCCCCCCCCCCTTTTCCTTAGCTGTGCTACTCCCTTTTATTCTATTGGCTTTTGAAAGCCAATAGAAGAGACTCTCTTGAATAGAGTCTCATTCTATTGGCTTTCCAAAGCCAATAGGAATTGTCCAGGCTGTCTCTGCCCTGCTGAGCCCGCCAAAAGGGGGGAAAAAATGGCCGACTGCGTTGTTTGGCAACCCCCGTGAAATGGTCGTTCGACCCCAAATGAGATCAGCGTTCCTCAATCTTGGCAATTCGCTCCCATCTCTGGCTGGGGAATTCTCGAGAACGGAAGGCCACCCATCTTCAAGTGTTTGCTGGCTGCCCGGACCAAGCTTGGAAGAAGGAGCCGGCAGGGCCCTGAGGAGGCCGAACGAAGAGCAGAGAGCTGGCTTGTCGTTTTTGCACGTGCAACAGGAATGTGGATGTTCTCTCAAAGCAGAGGAGGAGGAGGAGGAGAAGATGGGGAGAGGAGGAGGAAAAGGAGGAGGAGGACGAGAAGGGGAAGGGGAAAAAGAGGACGAGGAGGAGAGGAGGAGGAGGAGGAGTGGAGGAAGAGGGAGAGGGGGAGAAGGAGAGGAGGAAGAGAAGAATGAGAAGAAGAGGAGGAGAAAGAAGAAGAACGAGGAGAGAAAGGAGGAGGAGAAGGAGGAGGAGAGGAAGAGGAGGAGGAGAAGGGGAAAAAGAGGAGGAGAGGAGGAGGAGGAGGAAAAGTAGAAGAAAAGAAGGAGGAGGAGGAGGAAGAGAAGGAGACAAAGAGGAAGATTAGCAGAAGGAAGAGGAGAAGAAGAAAAGAAGAAGGAGCAGGAGAAACAGAAGAGGAATGAGGAGAAAAAGAGGAAGAGAAGGAGGAGGAAAAGAGGAACGAGAACGAGAAAAAGAGGAAGAGGAGGAGGAGGAGGAGGAGGAAAAGAAGAGGAGGAGAAAGAACGAGAAGGAGAAAAAGAGGAAGAGGAGGAGGAGGAGGAGAGGAGAAGGAAAAGAGGAGGAGAAGAGGAAGTGGAGGAGGAGGAGGAGGAGAAAAAGGAGGAAGAGGAGAAAAAGAGGAAGAGGAGGAGGAGAGGAGGAGGAAAAGTAGAAGGAGGAAGAGGAGAAGGAGGAGGACGAGAAGGGGAAAAAGAGGAGGAGAGGAGGAGGAGGAAAAGTAGAAGAAAAGAAGGAGGAGGAGGAGGAGGAGGAGGAAGAGAAGGAGACCAAGAGGAAGAGGAGCAGAAGGAAGAGGAGAAAAAGAGGAAGAGGAGAAAAAGAGGAAGAGAAGGAGAGGAGGAGAATGAGGAGGAGGAGAAGAGAAGAACAGAGGAGAAAAAGAGGAGGAGGAGGAGAAAGAGGAGGAGGAGGAGAAAAAGGAGGAAGAGGAGAAAAGAGGAGGGGAGGAGGAGAGGAAAAGTAGAAAAAGGAGGAGGAAGAGAAGGAGACCAAGAGGAAGAGTAGCAGAAGGAGGAGGAGAAGAAGAAAAGAAGGAGGAGAAACAGAAGAGGAACGAGGAGAAAAAGAGGAAGAGAAGGAGGAGGAAGAGAAGGAGAAAAAGAGGAAGAGGAGGAGCAGGAGGGAAGGAGGAGAGAAGGAAAAGGAGGAGAAAGAACGAGGAGAAAAAGAGGAAGAGGAGGAGGAGGGGGAGGAGGAGAGGAGAAGGAAAAGAAGGAGGAGAAAGAGAACGAGAAGGAGAAAAAGAGGAAGAGAAGGAGGAGAAGAATGAGGAGAAAAAGAGGAAGAGGAGGAGGAGGGGAGGAGGAAGAGAAGAGAAGGAGAAGGAGAAAAAGAGGGAGGAGGAGGAAGAGAAGGGGAGGAGAAAGAGGAGGAGGGGAGGAGGAGAGGAGAAGGAAAAGAGGAGGAGAAGAGGAAGTGGAGGAGGAGGAGGAGAAAAAGGAGGAAGAGGAGAAAAAGAGGAAGAGGAGGAGGGAGGAGGAGGAGAGGAGGAGGAAAAGTAGAAGGAGGAAGAGGAGAAGGAGGAGGACGAGAAGGAGAAAAAGAGGGAGGAGGAGGAAGAGAAGGGGAGGAGAAAGAGGAGAGGGGGAGAGGAGGAGGAAGAGAAAAGGAGGAGGAGGAGAAAAAGAGGATGCGGAGAGATGGGGAAAAGTAGGAGAAGAAGAGGAAGTGGAGGAGGAGAAGGAAGAGAAAAAGGAGGAAGAGGAGAAAAAGAGGAAGAGAAGGAGGAGAAGAATGAGGAGAAGAAGAGGAGGAAAAGTAGAAGGAGGAAGAGAAGAGAAGGAGGAGGACGAGAAGGAGAAAAAGAGGGAGGAGGAGGAAGAGAAGGGGAGGAGAAAGAGGAGGAGGAGAGGGGGAGAGGAGGAGGAAGAGAAAAGGAGGAGGAGGAGAAAAAGAGGATGCGGAGAGATGGGGAAAAGTAGGAGAAGAAGAGGAAGTGGAGGAGGAGAAGGAAGAGAAAAAGGAGGAAGAGCAGAAAAAGAGGAAGAGGAGGAGGAAGGGAGGAGGAGGAGGAGGAGGAGGAGAAAGAACGAGAAGAAGAGAAGGAGGAGGAGGAGAAGAAGAATGAGAAGGAGAAAAAAAGGAAGAGGAGGGGAGGAGAGGAGAAGGAGAATGAGAAAGAGAAGAGGAACGAGAAGGAGAAAAAGAGGAAGAGAAGGAGAATGAGGAGGAGGAGGAGAAGAAAAGAAGAACGAGAAGGAGAAAAAGAGGAAGAGGAGGAAGAGAAGGAGGAGGAGAAGAGAAGAACAGAGGAGAAAAAGAGGAGGAGGAGGAGAAAGAGGAGGAGGAGGAGAAAAAGGAGGAAGAGGAGAAAAGAGGAGGGAAGGAGGAGAGAAGGAAAAGGAGGAGGAGAAAGAGAACGAGAAGGAGAAAAAGAGGAAGAGAAGGAGGAGAAGAATGAGGAGAAGAAGAGGAAGAGGAGGAAAAGTAGAAGGAGGAAGAGGAGAAGGAGGAGGACGAGAAGGAGAAAAAGAGGGAGGAGGAGGAAGAGAAGGGGAGGAGAAAGAGGAGGAGGAGAGGGGGAGAGGAGGAGGAAGAGAAAAGGAGGAGGAGGAGAAAAAGAGGATGCGGAGAGATGGGGAAAAGTAGGAGAAGAAGAGGAAGTGGAGGAGGAGAAGGAAGAGAAAAAGGAGGAAGAGGAGAAAAAGAGGAAGAGGAGGAGGAAGGGAGGAGGAGGAGGAGGAGGAGGAGAAAGAACGAGAAGAAGAGAAGGAGGAGGAGGAGAAGAAGAATGAGAAGGAGAAAAAAAGGAAGAGGAGGGGAGGAGAGGAGAAGGAGAATGAGAAAGAGAAGAGGAACGAGAAAGAGAAAAAGAGGAAGAGAAGGAGAATGAGGAGGAGGAGGAGAAGAAAAGAAGAACGAGAAGGAGAAAAAGAGGAAGAGGAGGAAGAGAAGGAGAAAAAGAGGAAGAGGAGAGGAGGAGAATGAGGAGGAGGAGGAGGAGGAGAAGAAAAGAAGAACGAGAAGGAGAAAAAGAAGAGGAGGATGAGGAGAGGAAGAGGAGGAGGAGAAAGAGGAGAAGAGGAGGGGAGGAGGAGGAGAGGAGGAAAAGTAGAAGAAAAGAAGGAGGAGGAGGAAGAGAAGGAGAAAAAGAGGAAGAGTAGCAGGAGGAGAAGGAGGAGAAGGAGGAGGGGAGGAAGAGGGAGAGGGGGAGAAGGAGAGGAGGAAGAGAAGAAAAGAATGAGAAGGAGAAGAGGAGGAGAAAGAGGAAGAACAAGGAGAAAAAGGAGGAGGAGGAGGAGAAGAAGAAGAAGAAGAAGAAGAAGAAGAAGAAGAAGAAGAAGAAGAAGAAGAAGAAGAAGAAGAAGAAGAAGAAGAAGAAGAAGAAGAAGAATGACAACAACAACAACAACAACAACAACAACAACTTTCACTTCTCATCCATACAATACAGTCCCCCACAGCCTGAGACACTGGGCCATTGCCAACGTTGAGGAACCCTGATCTGGAGAGGTGCCAGAAGAATGTCAATGAGCACCATAAATGAGTCTCAAAGTCCTGGCTTATCTGTCCTCCATCTGAAGGACGGAGCCCTTGTTTTGCAGGAAGAACCTTGGAGAATTCGGTTGGGGAGGAAAAACCCCGGTCACCTGCCACCGAGCAGATGACCGGAGTATCCGGGCATAAAAAGGAGACCTCCTGGTCCCGGGAACCAATCTGCTGTGGACCTGCATAGCAGAAGAACCAAGGATGGAAGGCTACTTCTGGAAGACCTTACTGGTGCTTGGGGCTCTGTCAGCCTCTGGACGTGGCGAACCGTCGCACAAGCCACTGACCTATCAGAAAGCTCTGGAGCTTGGCGTGGCCAACTACAACAACAAAGCCGGGGAAGACTTGCTCTACCAGTTGCTGGAAGCTGTCCCTCAACCTGAATGGGTACGTACTCTTCACTTCAGGTCCATCCTGGAGTTGAGTCTTTGTAGAGTAGACCCATCCCTGAGATTTCTAGGGAGCTCCTTCTCCTCCTCCTCCTCCTCCTCCTCCTCCTCCTCCTCCTCCTCCTCCTCCTCCTTCTCCGCCCACCCTGTTCTCCAAGCGTTGGAGATCTGAATCCGCCTTCATCTATGGCAGTGGTTCTCAACTTTTTTAATGCCGTGACCCCCCAACCGGTCGTAAGTCGAGGACTACTCAACCGGCGTAAGTCGAGGACTACTCAACCGGTGCAGCACCGTTTGCAGAATGGGACTTTTGGCGGGCTCAGCAGGGCAGAGACAGCCTGGACAATTCCTATTGGCTTTGGAAAGCCAATAGAATTAGACTCTGTTCAAGAGAGTCTCTTCTATTGGCTTTCAAAAGCCGATAGAATAAAAGGGAGGAGCACAGCTAAGGAAAAGGGGGAAAAAATGGCGGACTGCGTTGTTTGGCGACCCCCGTGAAATGGTCGTTCGACCCCAAATGGGGTCCCGACACAGAAGTTGAGAACCACTGGTCTATGGTCAGTCAAGATGATGGGCCTGGTATGAAGAACATCTGGAACCCTTATGGGATGTAGAGTAGACTCATCCTTTATTGGATGTAGAGTAGACCCATCCTTTATAATATGTAGAGTAGATCCATCCTTTATAATATGTAGAGTAGAACCATCCTTTATAAAATTTAGAGTAGACCCATCCTTTATAATATGTAGACTAGACCCATCCTTTATAATGTGTAGAGTAGACCCATCCTTTATAATATGTAGACTAGATCCATCCTTTATAATATTAATATGTAGACTAGATCCATCCTTTATAATATGTAGATTGATCCATCCTTTATAACAGTGGTTCTCAACCTTTTTAATGCCGCGACCCCCAACCAGTCGTAAGTGGAGGACTAAACCAGTCGTAAATCGAGGACTACTCAACTGGTGCAGCACCCTTTGCAGAATGGGACTTTTGGCGGGCTCAGCAGGACAGAGACAGCCTGGACAATTCCTATTGGCTTTGGAAAGCCAATAGAATGAGACTCTATTCAAGAGAGTCTATTCTATTGGCTTTCAAAAGCCAATAGAATAAAAGGAAGTAGCACAGCTAAGGAAAAGGGGAAAAAAATGGCGGACTGCGTTGTTTGGCGACCCCCATGAAATGGTCGTTCAACCCCAAATGGGGTCCCGACCCACAGGTTGAGAACCACTGCTTTATAATATGTAGAGTAGACCCATCCTTTATAATATGTAGAGGACCCATCCTTTATAATAAGTAGACTAGACCCATCCTTTATAATATGTAGACTAGACCCATCCTTTATAATATGTAGACTAGATCCATCCTTTATAATATGTAGACTAGACCCATTCTTTATAAAATGTAGAGTAGACCCATCCTTTATAGTATGTAGAGAAGACCCATCCTTTATATGTAGAGTTTACCCATCCTTTATATGTAGAGTAGAACCATCCTTTATAATGTGTAGAGTAGACCCATCCTTTATAATATTAATATGTAGACTAGATCCATCCTTTATAATTAGAGTAGACCCATCCCTTATAAAATGTGGACTAGATCCATCCTTTATAATATGTAGAGTAGACCCATCCTTTATAAAATGTAGAGTAGACCCATCCTTTATGATATGTAGACTAGATCCATCCTTTATAATATGTAGACTAGATCCATCCTTTATAATATGTAGAGTAGACCCATCCCTTATAATATGTAGACTAGACTCATCCTTTATATGTAGAGTTTACCCATCCTTTATATGTAGAGTAGAACCATCCTTTATAATATATAGATCCATCCTTTATAATATGTAGACTAGATCCATCCTTTATAATATGTAGACTACATCCACCCTTTATAATATGTAGAGTAGACCCATCCCTTATGGCATGTAGAGTAGACACATCCCTTACTGGAAGATCTCCATTCTAGAAGAACGAGATTGGTAGAGTGCTTCCTTTCAGGAATCCACCAACCCTTGTCTCCTAGAATGGAGATCTTGAACATCCATGGTCAGTCAGGATGATGGGCCTGGTAGGAAGCGCATCTGGAACCTTCACAGGTCCTTCTCTGGAGCCACATTCAGGTGTCTCCATCAAGAGTGGTTCAGAAATGATCCCAATGTAAAACAGGGAGAAGGTCCAGGTGGCCTTCAAAGTAACTGCTCTACTTGGCCATGTCTTCTTTCAGGATCCCAATTCTGAAGGTACCCAAGAGTTGAAGTTCACCATCAAAGAGACGGTGTGCCCTGTGGAGGAAGGCCGTGCCTTGGAGGAATGTGACTTCAAAGAAGACGGGGTGAGTGACGAACACCAAGCAGGATTGGGAGGTCTGGTGTAGGTGGAGACAGGTCTAGGGGACTTCTTGGGGGACGTTCTTCCTTGGTTCTTCACGTCAACCCTTTGACCCAGATCCAGGGATGGAGAAGGGAACCAACATTGGACCCTTCGGCAGATGTTTCCCGTTCTTCTAAAGTGTACATGGAGACAGTGGTGGGATTCAAATACCTGAACAACCAGTTCTATTATGTGATGCAGACCTGGGCCTCTGAGGCCTAGAACAGACTTCCGGAAGTGGCATCCATGCACTTCCGGTGGACCGTTCTAGGCCTGGGAGGCCTCCTCCAGGCCTCCAATGCCTAGAACAGACTTCCGGAAGTGGCATTCATGCACTTCCAGTGGGCCGTTCTAGGCCTGAGAGGCAACCTCCAGGCCTCTGAGGCCTAGAACAGACTTCCAGAAGTAGTTTCCATGCACTTCCGGTGGGCTGTTCTAGACCTGGGAGGCCTCCTCCAGGCCTCCAATGCCTAGAACAGACTTCCGGAAGTGGCATCCATGCACTTCCGGTGGGCCGTTCTAGGCCTGGGAGGCCTCCTCCAAGCCTCCGAGGCCTAGAACAGACTTCCAGAAGTGGTTTCCATGCACTTCCGGTGGGCCGTTCTTGGTCTGGGAAGCCTCCGAGGCCTAAACTGGACTTCCAGAAGCCAGCCGGTTGTCCAAATTCAGGTAAATTTAGTTACCGGTTCTCCCGAATCGGTGCGACACCGGCTGAATCCCACCACTGGGGCTATGGCACATCTGTAGGATCTTCTTGGCAGACATAAAACCGGATCTCCTAAGCTAAGCGTGTCTAGTAGAAGGAGAACGTTCCTTGGCTGAATGTGGCTTAAAGAAGACGGGGTGAGTGATCGAAGCCAAGCTACGTTGGTAATCTGTTGTAGATGGAGACAGGGCTATGGGACTTCTGTGGGATCTTCTTGGCAGAAGTGAAAGCGGATCACCATCTCCACGGGGATTGAAGGAAGACCACTTCCGGAAGTCGGTTCTGGGCCTCGAAAGCCTTTAGGAAACCTCCCAGGCCTAGAAGGGCCTGCTGGAAGTGCGTGGATGCCACTTCCGGAAGTCCGTTCTACGCCTCGGGGGCCTGGAGGAAGCCTCCCAGGCCTAGAAGGGCCAGCTGCAAGTGCATGGATACCACTTCCGGAAGTCTGTTCTAGGACTCAGAGGCCTGGAGGAAGCCTCCCAGGCCTAGAAGGGCCCGCCGCAAGTGCAAGGATGCCACTTCTGGAGGTCCGTTCTAGGCCTCGGAGGCCTGGAGGAAGCCTCCCAGGCCTAGAAGGGCCGGCCAGAAGTACATGGATGCCACTTCCGGAAGTCCATTCTGGGCCGTGGAAGCCTTTAGGAAGCCTCCGAGGCATAGAAGGGCCCGCCGGAAGGGCATGGATGCCACTTCTGGAAGTCCATTCTTGGCCTCGGAGGCTTGGAGGAAGCCTCCCAGGCCTAGACGGGCCCGCCGGAAGTACATGGATGCCACTTCCGGAAGTCCGGTTCTAGGCTTCAGAGGCCTGGAGGAAGCCTCCCAGTCCTAGAAGGGCCCACCGGAAGTGCATGGATGCCACTTCCGGATGTCCATGCAGAGAACCGGTTGTTCCGATGTTTGAATCCCCCCATCGGCTATGGAACATCGTTAGGATCTTCTTGGCATAGATAAAACTGGATCTCCATCTCCACTGGGTGGAGAAAAGATCGTAGTTAAGGCTGCCTCTTTCCCTTCTACCCTTGTCTTGTGGGACGGTCTTCCTCGTGGTTCTTCAGGTCAACTCTTTGACCCAGATCCAGGGGACGGGGAAGGGATCCGACACTTGAATCCTTCAACAATTCACCCCTCGACACCCAAAGGGTGCATGGAGAGGTTGAATCGGCTTAGCTTGTCTAAGGGTGCCCTGGAAGGACAACGCCAGAGGTTGATCCCAGATCCGTCCTGTGGTGGTGGTGGGGAAACAAAATGGCGGTCTCCGTGCCAACCTGGAAGATGGCTGGATTCTCAGCTTGTTTCTTCTCCACTGTAGGTGGTCAGAGAATGCACAGGCAACTATTTCCTTGGGGAGAAGCCCCCGCTGGCTTTTGTCACCTGTGACGCCGTGGAGGGAATAGAGGAAGAGGAGGAGGTAGAAGAGGAGAAGAAGGATGAGGACGAGGAAGAGGTAAGAAGGTGGTATGGTGTCCAGGACTTCCGGGGATGACCTCCAAACCTAGAAGAAGGGTTGAGCCATTGGCTGGGTGGAGGAGACCCCATCTCACTTGAGGTAGTCCATGCGTTACATGTGTCGGAGACGAGAGTCCCAATTAAAACTGGTATCTCCCGAGCTTTGGTCCCCATTGAACCAGGAAGAGGAGGTGGAAGAGAAGAAGGAGAACAAGAAGGTGGTGTGATGGGAGGGGCGGCAGGGGTTTGAACCATTTGTTAGGTGGAGGAGACCCCCATCTCAGCTGAGGTCCTACCTTTGCCGTGTCTTTTGAAGAGGAGAGACCCACTTAGAAGGTTATCTCCCAAACTTTGGTTCCTCCTGAACAGGAACCTTATCCACTCTTGAAATAGGCTGGAAAGATGGTAGAGGCTTTCTTGCTTGAGCACGGGGGCTGGACTGGATGACCTCCCAAGGTCCCTTTCCAAATCTGTGATTCTGTATGAGTGCCTTGCTTGAGCACGGGGGCTGGACTGGATGACCTCCCAAGGTCCCTTCCAAATCTATGATTCTGTATGAGTTTCTTGCTTGAGCAGGGGGTTGGACTAGATGACCTCCAAGGTCCCTTCCTACTGTTATTCCATGATTCTGTAAGGGTCTCCTGCTTCAGCAGGAGGTTGGACTAGATGACCTCCAAGATCCCTTCCCACTGTTATTCCATGATTCTCTAAGGGTCTCCTGCTTAAGCAGGGGGTGGGACTAGATGACCTCCAAGATCCCTTCCTACTGTTATTCCATGATTCTCTAAGGGTCTCCTGCTTAAGCAGGGGGTGGGACTAGATGACCTCCAAGGTCCCTTCCAGCTGTGTTATTCCATGATTCTGCAAGGGTCTCCTGCTTCAGCAGGGGGTTGGACTAGATGACCTCCAAGGTCCCTTCCCACTGTTATTCCATGATTCTCTAAGGGTCTCCTGCTTCAGCAGGGGGTTGGACTAGATGACCTCCAAGTTCCCTTCCCACTTTTATTCCATGATTCTGTAATATAGAACAGACAGAACAGAATATACTATAATAGAATATACTAGACTGGACTAGATTAGACTAGACTAGACTAGAACCGAACAGAATAGACTAGACTGTACTAGAATAGAATAGAATAGAATAGAATAGAATAGAATAGAATAGAATAGAATAGAATAGAATAGAATAGAATAGAATAGAACAGAACAGAATAGAATATACTGTGCTAGAATATACTAGAATACTAGAATGCAAAAAAACGGAAGTGAGCAGATTCTCCTTCTTCATCTGCAGAGGATGTACAAGGGGATCCCTTTGTTGTCCGGGAATGCCACAACTGCACCCTTTGCAAATGTGCAAACCTGAGCATGGAGCAGCCCGGAAGCAGAAAGAGGGAGGGGGGTGGTCTGGATGTGCCCGCGGGCTGCCTGTCGGGGAACCAGGCCTGACCGGACCCGATCCTTTCCTTCCTTCCTTCCTAGGATCGGTCCAGACGGCGGAAACTGAGGCGGCGACCCTCCAGAAAGGTGATCATAATTGTGATCAAGTTTTAAGAGATTGATTCGGAAAGGCTCGGCTTCCAGATCTCCGATCCGAGAAAGCAAAAAAAAAAAAAAAATCATTTCTGCAAAAAATGATTGGATGATTCTCCAGGTTTTTTTTTGTTTTGTTTTGTTTTGTTGTTTCCGATTCGGGTTTTCCTAAACGGCGGCACGTATTCACATTTGGGGTAGCATTCGAACTCCGGACCCAGGCAGAAAGGGAAATGCTGCAACAGGTAGAAGTTAGGGAAAGGAATCAAATGAATCAAATCAGAGGAACGGGATCTTGAGCAATTCTATAGGGTCTCCTCTTTGGGCAGGGGGTTGGAGTAGATGATCTCCAAGGTCCCTTCCAATCGTGTGATTCTACAATTCTGTAAGGGTCTCGTGCCTAAGCAGGGGGTGGGACTAGATGATCTCTAAGGTCCCTTCCAATCATGTGATTCCGCAATTCTTTAAGGGAAGGTCATCTAGTCCAAGTCTTGGAGGTCATCTAGTCCAGCGGTTCTCAACCTATGGGTCGCGACCCCATTTGGGGTTGATCGACCATTTTTCTGGGGTCGCCAAAGGCGGCGACCCGCCATTTTTTTGCGGCGCGCACACGCGCACCGCACATGGGGGCGGCCCCGCGCGTGGGGGCCGCCGCGCATGCGCGCCGCGTGAGGGGCGACGCCACGCATGTGCGTCGCGCATAGGGGGGCCGCCCATGCGCAAAACGTTTGTGTGACGGGGGTCGCCGTCACACAAACGTTGAGAACCGCTGATCTAGTCCAAGTCTGTGCCTTCTCTTTACAAAGCTTGTAAATCCAGTGAATAATATGTCCAAACTGTGACGGACAGGAAAACGACTCCGCAAAATGTAGATGGAGAAATTCAGGTAAATCTGAATTTTGATGTGTATAGACCAGTGCTTAGTGGGAACTGACGGCCTCATCTGGTTGGGATAAAATGGATCTAATCAGAGGAACCGAATCTTGAGCAATTCTATAGGGTCTCCTCCTTGAGCAGGGGGTTGGACTAGATGATCTCTAAGGTCCCTTCCAATCGTGTGATTCCGCAATTCTTTAAGGGTCTCCTGCCTGAGCAGGGGGTTGGACTAAATGACCTCTGAGGTCCCTTCTGAAGGAAATAAGTTATTCTTTTATAAAATGGTAGAAAAAATAATTGTAGAAATGTAATGCCAATATACGAAACTGTCTTTTTAGTACAAATGTAACACTGTAACGCAAATGGAACAATGCAATGCCAATATATGAAGCAGGAATGTTTACGGTTTCCTGCCCATGTAAAAATGGCTACAAACGGTAATCAGCAAAGATAATTAATTATGACCAAATGTTTACTATTTCCTGCCTAAAAATCCTCCGGACACAGGAACTTCCACTTTGAGTAAGAATCCTACTATCAAAGAGGGGGATTTGGACCCAAGGTGAGAATTACAAATAAACAAAATAACAGCAGGTTAACAAAGTACAACTTCAAAGTACATCTATAAAGATGAAAGAGCTGCTTAGATGTGACATGCATTGTAGGGGTATAAAATGCAAAAACGTGAAACCAGGCCAGCGTGCTGAGTGCAAACCTCTTTTAGTCTCTTCTCTTTTTATTCTTTTTTATGTTATTCTCCAATAAAACTTTGTTTTGTTAACCAGATATGTCTTCGTATTGTGACCATCAAAATTTGGGGTTTTTTACATCTCACACTTCCAACTCTGTGATTCTGAAATTCTGTATGGGTCTCCTGTTTGAACAGGGGGTTGGACTAAATGACCTCCGAGGTCCCTTCCAACGGTGTCATTCTATGATCCTGCGTAGGGTCTCCTGCCTGAGCAGGGGGTTGGACTAAATGACCTCCGAGGTCCCTTCTGAAGAAAATAAAAAGTTATTTTTATAAAATTGTAGAAAAATAATTGTAGAAATGTAATGCCAATATATCAAAATTCAATTTCAATTAACATTCCATGCTCAATTTTGGTTACCTGGATATTTTTTGCAAGTTTCGTGCCTTACCTATGGATTTACCAAGTTTCCACCCCACAAACGAATTTTAGAAAATTTTGGACATTTTTTTCCCTAAAACATGGTTATTTTGTTTCCTAAACTTTGATTTTCAGTTTCAAACCCTGACAGTTATGAAACACGAGTCCACAAAAACCCATGCGAATCAGATCAAAAGTTAAGACAGTCGCCCTGAGAAACATCCTAAGACCTGAATAGCTGCATGGAACTACATGCACACCAAAACTGGGTAAAAGCTGTCTGCTATAAAAGCTTTGGCAGCATACAATATTGCCTAATGTTGACATTAGGGTTATGAGGACCATTTACTCCCAAGTTAAGGGAGATAAATCTTTGGGAGATATGAAAGAGGCCAGGCTTCATTCTTCCAGCTATTAGTTTTTCCGACATTTGAATTAGGAGTTTAGCTTGGGTGACATTATTGACCACCTTGAATGCTAAAAAAGAAGGTATCAATTGTCAATATATTTGGCAAGATTTCCCCCCCCCCACGCTGAATTCCTAGAAGGAACTCCTATTAGCCTCAATTGTATAGGAGATCCTGTCTACGCAACTCAATAACATTTCAGAATTGGAAATAACACATTTAAGAGGTGTTTAACGTAGACAGAACACATGTGGTTCTGCAGACTGTGTGTAGCATTTTCTTTCACACAAATAAAACGGATGTAACGTAAATCTAGGTTTCATAACCAATATAGAATAACAAAGATACATTAGATTGGATGCAAAGGTACTTGAGGCTGATCTTGTTTAAGCCACTAGGTCACAATCCACTTTTCAAGCTTTCCTGTTGCTGGAGCCGACTCACGGACGGTAGGAAAGGCACTCATTGGCTATGCTGCCTGACAAGGCCTTATTGAGGGCCTTTGTGGAGTTTCCCAGCACTTGTGCTGTGACATGCTCCTTCTTCTGACTGGTACAGCCCTCTAGAATTCTGCAGGTCCCAATGCAGCATCTCCAATTCCTGAGAGAGCAAAGAAGAGTCAAGTACAGGAGCCAACACAAAACAAAACAAAACCTTGGTTATAAAGGGCAAGCTCGCGGAGAAGAGGAGCCAGAAAGAACACACAGGCTAGGACCACTCATTCAGTGATCATTTAAAATTACAGGAGCGCTGAGCGGAAGGGATTTGCCACTGGTCCACAAAATGGTGGATGCCATCACAGCCTCTCCAGTCACTCAGGCATCCAGTTTGCAATTGCAATGTCACAAGTGACTCGATTCACAAGTCGCTCCAACTGCTTTGTCTCCCTAGAAGTTCCACTACAGAGAGCAAGATCCCAGAGAGAGCACATGCCTGCCTGCCAGCATTGCTTGCCCATAACCTTGATTGGCCTTCCCAACGACATCCCCACAACCCTTCCCATTCCTGCTTCTACCCACTTGACAACCAGTACTGTCTGATGTGGCCACCCGACATTTCACTTTATTACTGCATCCCACTCCCGACCTCTGTCGTAAACTCAAGGACTACCTCGGTCAGCAACATCCAAAAGTAAAGAAAATCTAGTTTTCTTTAGCAAGCTCTTCCTCCCTCAGCTGAAGTTACCATTTTACTTGCTTCTAGTATTCGGGTGAAATCATCAGCAATGGGCCTAGCAGAAGTTTGGAGGCTCCAGCATTGTTCGATAGTCAAGCCATTCTGTAGGAAAACAGGGCCAAGTGCAAGAATAAATTAAGCTTAGCAAGTGAATTGCTAATGTACCTGGCAGCTTTCAAATCAAGACCAAATCCTGTGCTAGCATGGCACCCTATACCAGGAATAGGCAACCTTGGCTCTTTTATGACTGGTGGACTTCAGCTCCCAGAATTCCTGAGCCAGCCTGGCTCAGCTTGGAAACCTCTCCCTTCCCCCTCAGCATGGCTGGCTCAGGAATTCTGGGAGTTGAAGTCCACCAGTCATAAAAGAGCCAAGGTTGCCTACCACTGGTCTAGACTCTAGGCCTAGGGTAGGGTATTCACTCTGCTGTATTGTAAGGGTCTCCTGCTTGAGCAGGGGGTTGGACTAGATGACCTTGGGACTGCTGTATAAAAAGGGGAGGTGTGGGCGGTGCTGGTTGCATTTGCAAAGTGCTTCTTGGAATCCTGGTCTGTTCCTGGTCTGTTTGTCTTGCTTGTGACTACTCTTCTGTTTGCATCATGTTTCCTGTGGACTACTTCCTTCCTTTGCACTTGAGTTTTGCTGTTTGTGTTTTGGACTATTTGACAGAGATGTTTTCCAAGAAATATCAAATCTCTTGCTTCTTTCTCACAAAATAAAGCAGACTCACTGAAATTAGATGTAAGGAGATTAGAAGTGATGATGAAAACCATTATTTCTGTTTTTAAAGCTATCACATACCTATGCAGGGATGGGTTTGTAACAAAAAAAAGGCCGCCAGTGTCACAGGACACAGTTAAGAGGACTAAGTAACATAAAGAACAGGGGATAATGTAAGTTTAACATCGGGCAGATGTACTACATCAATCTTCACAACACTCCAATAATTAAGGCAGTCTAGTCTGCCTTTCTCCAGATATACGGTCTGATCTTCATGCGAGTTTACAAGCAGAGGGTCTCACTTTTGGTAAGTACACGCAGCTCTGCCTGGCACCTCTCTAGTGATTCTTTCAACCGCACTTTTTGGTGTGCAGCTGCAATTCGTTTGGATCTACGTAAAGTTTCTTCCCTATTTTGTCTCTTGTCTGCTTTGGAGTCTTGTTGTTTTGCCTCCTGCAAGGCAGCTTCCAACTTCTTTATCTGAAAAAAAAATAAGATGCTCTATCTAGGAAATGGGGGGAAAGGAGCTGTGGAACTAAGGAGGTATCTCCCCAAGATTCCTATAGAAATGAGTGGTTCTTCAGCATCAGGCACAAACAACTGGGGCCACACTCACAGAGTCACAAACAAGCTAGCTTTGTTCTATCCCAGGCTATTGCCGTCCTGCTGATACAAGAGGCTGGAGACTTTAAAACAAAACAAACCCCTTTTAATGTGGGTGACAAACCTGTCAAATAGTCCAAAACACAAACAGCAAAACTCAAGTGCAAAGGAAGGAAGTAGTCCACAGGAAACATGATGCAAACAGAAGAGTAGTCACAAGCAAGACGAACAGACCAGGAACAGACCAGGATTCCAAGAAGCACTTTGCAAATGCTTGTCTTCAGCAACCAGCACCGCCCACACCTCCCCTTTTTATACAGCAGTCCCAAGGTCATCTAGTCCAACCCCCTGCTCAAGCAGGAGACCCTTACAATACAGCAGAGTGAATACCCTACCCTAGGCCCAGAGTCTAGACCAGTGGTAGGCAACCTTGGCTCTTTTATGACTGGTGGACTTCAACTCCCAGAATTCCTGAGCCAGCCATGCTGAGGGGGAAGGGAGAGGTTTCCAAGCTGAGCCAGGCTGGCTCAGGAATTCTGGGAGCTGAAGTCCACCAGTCATAAAAGAGCCAAGATTGCCTACCCCTGACATAGCCGTATGAAAAAGTGATGGCCCTGGTGCTGTTGCAGGCCAGTTCAGTGTTAGTGAGGTTGGGGCAGCTGGAGACCTTCGGCGTGTGGCATCCGGTCAGTGTGAAGCAAGTAGCTGCTTGAGTTACAGTGGAATATGTACATTCTGCTGTCTTTTGTGTTTGTGCTGGCCCCCCAATCAACAATATTACAGTGTGAGGCTGTCAGTGGGTGCTCTCTCAACTGAGTGTCGTTAGTGATGGCTTTTGGTCCCATTGCTCCTCCCATCAGGCATGTGGTCAAGATGTCTTTTTCTGACCTACCCCCTGCAAGGCAAAAATCTAGTCATCTAGTCCAATCTTCTGCTCAAGCAATACAGCAGAGTGAATAGAATAGAATATTGAATTAATAGAATACAAATAACATTGTAGAATAGAATAGAATGGAACAGAAGGGAATAGTTGGAAGGGACCTCAGAGGTCATCTAGTCCAACCCCCTGCTCAAGCAGGAGACCTTTACAATACAGCAGAGGGAATAGAACAGAACAGAATATAGAATTAATAGAATAGAAATAACATTGTAGAATAGAAAAGAATAGAATAGCAAACAATGCTTCCTCCAGAAAGGCAAGGCACGCAGGGGGAAGACCATGGGCTCAACGCCCCTTTGAAAAGCTCCAGCTAGATTCCATTCAGCTCCCTAGGAACAATGGGTACCAATACCTGCTAGTCTGCAGAGACCAGCTCACCCCTGGGTGGAGGCATACCCCTGCCGCCATGCCACGGCCCTGGAGACCGCAAGGCACCTACTAAAAGAACTTGTGCCCAGGTTTGGAGTCCCAACTGTTTTAGACATGGACAGGGGCACACATTTTGTGTCGCAGGTAATCACACATGTCCTCCAAGCGTTGGGCATTAAACAAGACCTACACACGCCAGGACACCCCAGTTCCTTGGCGGGGGGGAGAGGGAGAGAGACAGAATAGAGAATTAAAGACCCTCCTAGGCAAACTCTGTCAGGAGACCCGCCTGCCCTGGCCCCAAGCACTACCCACAGCCTTGTTCCACCTTACATAGGCATCTCCCCCTTCGAATGATTGTTTGGTCGCCCACCCGACAGGCTCAAAGGCCTCTGTTTAGAAAAGGGGGGAGGTAGTCTCATCATCTTATCTTCTCTACCCCAGAGGCTCAGAGAACTG